AAGGCAGGATCAAATTGACACAAAAAGATTTCTTCTATATTTTGAACGGTATCCTGATCAAACTTAACCCACAACCCATGTTGTAAGCAGGCAGAAAAGACAAAAGCAATATGGCCTACCCTATGCTACCACATGATAAACCAGTACATCATTTAATTAAAAAATACATTTCCTTGTGCATTCAAAGCAAATAATCTCAAAAGCAATATAAAATGTAACTTTTGAAACAATTATATGAACTCTACAGTTGACTTCATCTATGTTAAACTCACTTGAGTTGATCTTCAGTTAAGTTGATCTTTTCCATGGGTACTGCCACCTCTTCTTCTTTACAATGTTAAAGTCAGATCGTTATGTTGAGTCTAACACAACCGTAAAAACGCTCGAGTTGAATTGCTTTTTTTGACTCACGGCTGCAAGTATGCAAAGTTTGTATTGATTTTCAAAATCTTTTTTTGTTTATGTATCGCCCGATGTTTCACAGCACTTTTGACACTGGCACCCCCCCGGGCAGTGCCACTGACTGTAGTGTCTTTAGGCCATTCTCAAAGGGGGAACATTTCTCGTTCAAGCACAGTAGAATTGTAAATGGGCTGATTCATGTCACACTCATAACTGTGCCTGATCTACAACAGGGAACTGCTGTTTTTTCTTTCTTAATCCTTACTATTGTCACTTTCCTCTACTTCTTTTGTATGTTTGTCACTTTCTTGTGACTTGCTATTTCCGGGGTGCCTTGATAGTCGAAGTAGACCTTGTGCTGTTGAAGCTAGGGAGGTGAGCAGAATAAGTCTGATTCCCTGTAAAGACTTCTCTATTGCTCTATTGACACCCACCTCTTGGTGCTCATATGACCTTATGCAGTTGCGAGCGCCGTAATACCCTCTACTATTTTTTTTTTATAATTTGAAATTGGTGATACTTAACATAAAAGTACAATTAGGCCAATGTAGAACCGGTCAACACACATTAATAGACCTACACAGTACCTCAATGAAACAGTGAGGGGAGCACAAGAGCGGGTGTACGCCATGTCTGCTTCCCCTACCCTCAAGGCAGAAGGGTATGGCGCACTGCAAGACAATGGGTAATACACTGAAACCTCAGTATAACATACGTGGCTGAACACGTATTCTCGACTGTAACTGTAACTGTTCACTTTCTGAAGTCCAAAATCTCAAGTAGAGTTTTTACTTTTTAAATATTTAAAATGTAGCTGTGTAAAACATTCTTTTAGCTATTAATGTTCAAGGAATTTTAGTGATCAAAAGTTTGTATATAATGGAGACAGAATATATGTGAATAAAGGACCTGGCAAACAGCTGAAGTTTTATAGTACTCAGGAATACAATGTAATCAACTGTCAGAGCTACATTATGGTAATACACATGTACTGGTAGTTTTGTTGCCAGTGAACGCTTACAACCTCTCCCACATCCCCGACCCTCACCCCCTCTCTCTCACATATATACACACACATGCATGCGTGCATTAGCAAGCGGTGATTAATGAAGTGAACAAATATTAAGCAGTAACCTTTCCGACATTTTTCTATAGTATTAACATTAAAATAAGTTTTGTGGGGGGGGGGGGGGGGGATTTTGTTACGTACCTTGATTTTGCGATCCCGACAATTAAGTTACTTCAGATGAGTTGACCTTTTTTTCACCTTCCCAGACGACATCAACCCACGCATGTTGAACTGTATCAACACCTTATTAACCTGACCAGAAGTATCACTCTCGAAACATATACTCCCCATGACAGAATTAATTGAGCAGCAGGTACAATGTATTTCTTAAAATCCCTTTTTTTATTGAGACAGCAGCAAATAGGTAAAAAAAGAACTCAAAAAATTTTCAAAGGTCACTCAGTGGTCAGTGTAGTCAAATACAGGCACACACAAGCACACACACAAACAAAAACAGAAGTCACCAAAACCCCTATTATACTATAAACTTATGTACACCTCAGGCGACTGTGATCTTATATAATATATATAAAACATATCTTTGACAGTAAAGAGCCAAACAAAAGTTTGCATCAAAAGTTGTAAATGCAATAGTCGTAAAGGTAATTTACATGAGATTTCTATAAGTTCCTCATTCAAAAACCAAAACTTGTCTAGCACCCACATAGCGAAAAATGTTTATAGTGAACTGATTTTCAGGTCCTGAAGTTTTTTTTCTATATTCTTTGCATTCAAAACATTCACCTTGCCAAAACAATTCCAAAATAACGAAAAGAATAGACGTTGGCGAGAGCTGTAGAGCTAATCAAACTCAATCACAAGTTTTCTTTACCAAAGTAGCTGTGATGAGAGAGTGAGTGAGAGAGGCCACGGTATGAGTATAGGCCAATGACCTGCTCTCTTTAAGTTGAGGGCAATTGTGTAGACCAAGGATATGTTATTGTAAGGTTAACAGAAGAGTTCAGGGGTAGATCTAATCAGCAAACTTCAGTTGCGCAAGGGCAGTCTGCTTTCAAATAAAGCATGTATCTGGTATGATCAGCACATTTGTCAGCACACTTCCAACAGGGATTACACATTGTGTTTTTCAAAGTTAGGTCAAGGTAAAGTTGTAGACTAGCAGAGAGAGGACCTGGTAGAGTAAAAGAAGTGGAAAGGCTTCTCAGTAAAGGAAAACAGCCTATCCTAGCAGAAGTGGATAAAAACCAATGTCAAAAAACCCAAATATACAAATATACAAGCAGCTATGAACCCAGCATGCACATTGGCTAGCATAGGGAGTATAATTGAAGTAAAATTTGGATCAAATTACCCAACCCTTGATAAAGCCTGAAATTCATACATAACACAAAGATTTCTGCATCCTGCTGATGTCACTATGTGCGTGCTAGACAGTATTTCACATCAGTAAATAGCAAAATTTAATAAAAAGAAGTATGAAAATATGCGAGGCAGCGTGGTGGAATCAGGCTCTCGTCAATTTTTGGGCATGTAGAGTTATTGGTATCTTCTTAAAGCTTGTTCACTCATCTTTATTTGGATGGAAAAAAAGTCCATTTATCTTGAATACAAGTCGGGATATTTGCGAAAGAAGGAAGTGGGGCTCACCTGTTTTCAGAGGTAAAATTAGTGAGAAAATGACCACCAAAGATCAGTTATTTCCTTTGCTTAAGAGTCTGTGGTAACTGAAAATGTACTTTTTTTGTGCCTTTCATCAACGTTTTTCAGAAAAACCCACACAGAAATGAGATCTTTAACTTTAATGGGCATGAAAGGTGTTGAGCCAAAAAACAAAAATTTGATAAAAATTCACAAACCTGCGGAAAAATGCAAGTTTCTTCACTTTGATTATTTTGACGAGAGCCTGATTCCACCATGCTGCCTCACATATTAGAACACAATCTTGTTTCCATAATATCTAAACAACAACTGACCATACATAAAATCAACAATTCTATGGAGGATGACACCTTCAGCATACATCTCCTTTTCACCACTACCTCCAATCTTTATTTTCTGTATATTTAAATGACAACCACTTGTCAGGTGTAATGTAGCCATTAGACTTTGTTCATTTGTAATAAGATTCAGTTGATTAAGAAAACACCTGTTTATTAACAGTAACAGCTATCCACCTCTCATCATGCCACAAAAACCTTCAGACCTATGGCTTACATCAAACACACTGTAAAAGTAAAAATTAACTTGAAGACATGTTCTGCCCCTTCTTGATTTGTTTTTGAGCAAATTGAAGACCTTACAGGATACATACAGCCCATTTTAAAGACAGAGTTCAAGACTCAGCAGTTAGAACTTAATTGGAAATGGAAAGAGGGAGATATGCCCAATATTACCCTGACATATCTGAAGATGGGTATTCATGTATAGCATTCTACCATTAGCACTCTGAACAGAGAATGTAGAGAGTGGCCGCAGGGGGCAACAGATGCTGAGATATCACAACTGATTGATGAAAACTCACGGCACCGAGATGTGGTTGTATACACGGATGGATCTGTTAAACGAGGGGAAAAATCTGGATGGGGCTTCTCAGCACGAGTGAGTGGCAGACTGGTGCAGGAACAACAGAGAGCATACGATATGACAATATCTAGCATGAGAATGGAGATAGAGGCAATCACTCAGGCTCTCAAAAGGGTCACAACAACTCGACAAGCACATGTGATCTTTGTCACAGACTCTCAGAGCATGCTAAGGAATATTGAAAGTGGGAACCTTAGAGCTAAAAAGACAGAGCTCCTAAGAAGACAACACTGAAAAAGATCACGTGGATCTTCACCCCGGGCCATGCTGGAGTCAAGGGCAATGAGCGGGCTGATGAGCTCGCTGGGAACGCAAAACCTGAAGGGAAGCTGTGCCCTGACAAACCTGAAATTGTACGTTCAGTCAGGGGAAAAAAAGAAAAAGAACAAGAAGAGTTGGAATACCATCATCTTGAGCAACTTTGTGAGCTTGGAAATGGATGGGGCGCCTGCAGGAGTTCAAGACTTAGTGGGATGAGCAGAAGGCTATGGAGGCAACCATAGCTTGGAACTGTCAGCATCTACACACTTCGAGATGTGTTTCTTCAGGGGACGGAGCGCTTATGGGGATGCCCCTTGTGCAGTGATGTCGGTCCTTCACACAAGTAACAAGTCACACAAGTAACTCTCTCTCTCTCTGTATTGGGGGGGGGGGGGGGGGGGACTGCCAAAGATAAAATTTATAAATAGTCACTAGATGCAGACAGTTCTCTGCAGAGGGGAAGCAAGACTGAGTCAGACTTTAGAGGGCAGAGGAGACAATTCAGACTGATGGAAGGATATCCGAAAAAGTTCAGGACAAACAAGAGCACTCCTGTCTGATCATTGCAGAGGCTAAAGGTTTGACATAACCTTGTCAAAACCACATTGAAAACAAACATCGGATTTCATTTATTCATGATACGAGAGAAAACAATGTATTATAGTCAGCCTTGTGCAACAGACACCACTAGTTGACAAGCAGATGGAAAAACTTTTCTTTTTTATTGTGAAATCGCAAAGAGCAAAAAGGAAGCAGGAACAGAAGGTTAAGACAGAAAACCTAATCCCCAAGAGAAATCTGTGACTACATATGACCTACACTAGAAAAAAGACTGTCTATCAACATGAGAACCGTACACAGGACAGAAATGGTAGCCTACTTTCCTTGAAGAGTACACTGTTCCAGTGTAGATTCATTTTATATTTCAGGTTTCATAGAAGAGCTGCTATGTACAATAATGTTACAATTACATATTTAGGAGTAAACCAAAAATGACTGAAGCAATATCTATTTATCATCACCTCATTTTACCATCCTTCCAATGCACTCAACTTCTTATTTAATCTTCCATTCAATCGTTTATATTTTCAAGCAAAGCTATGAATGACAGTGTCATTGTCATCTGAAATAAAATGTTAAAAAAGTGGAAATGACCAGTTAACTCTTTAATACTATTGTAATGTCACAGCAAAAGAATAAACGCAGTCAACATAAGGATTTCAAGAGCCTGTTGTCTACAAACAACTCATGAATTATGCATTTAAATGTTTACAGCAATAATAATTAATATTGTCTTAAAACAGCAATACATTTGGAAAATCTCTCTCAGTTCTCATAAATAAAATGAGTATTGGTTTTGATGTTTGCAACATTTGTCTGTCAGTAGGAAACTAAAGAAAAGAGTTGTGTAGACAGTTCATTTCTCTACTGTTTTCATTAGTTTTGCAATGACACATGTCCACAAAAGTGAGCTAAGGACAAAACCCTTTATTTCTAAAACAAAATCCACCACCTGTGGTACGGCCTGGGAGTGTTTACTCACTTCCTCATTTAACTGCCAACGTATGTACCTTCAATTTTTTTACTTCATGAGCCAAGTTCCTTGTCCTGCAAAAATAGGTTTTACATGATGCTCATGTACAACACCCTGCACGTCTACACGCTACTCTGCCACTGCCGTGATAGATTAACAAATGTGCTCCAACAAAGTCAGCACTATCCAAGTGCAGTGGAGCCTCTCTATAACGACCTTCAATATAGCGACATCCTTTGTAAAGCAACATGGTGCCCAGTCCCCAATTTTTTTCCTTTTATATATATCATTAGTAATTTTTGGTTGCCCGACATTTTTTTCTGGTCCCAAGAATGTCGTTATAGAGAGGCTGCACTGTATTATCAATGTGATATCTTACTGTATGAAAGTCGAATATTTATCACATCTTTAATCTCTTTCATATTACTAAGCTCACCACAGCCTTGTGTGGCCATACACATACAAAACAGATTATTCTGTGTGCATAGAGTTTAAGGACACGTTGATTGTTGAAAGTGATTTTTTAAATATATAAGATAATCCTTATCCCTTAGCCAGACAAATTTGATAAAAGAGTTATCAGTATCAAAAGACAATATCCACAAAACAAAAGGATCTAAGATGCCAATCACTTCATTTGTACATCTCTTTTCCAGTATACATTAGTGTTAATTCATACTCTTTATAAAACATGTTAGTAAATAACACAACAAACCACTCATCAAACTCAGTTTCCTCAAAGAACCACAAGGGCACCTGTACCCTGTGACAATTCCCTTCATATTATCCATCTTCATTTTCTTTTCTGCATTCTTTCAGTATCAAAACCACAATGACAGTCATAGTCCCCTTCACTCATTGTTACATTCACCTCATCTCATATATGTGACAAAGTAGCCTATGTGTCCACATATTGCCTCTTTCTTGGAATTAAAGACTACCTACAGCTTTAAGATTAATCATGTTTCTTTACATATTTCTATACAAAGATACTACCTCAAACTATTTCACCAACAGCCTTTTGGTTCCCAAAGGGAGATGATGGATTTTTATGGGGAAGAGGTTTGCTTAGCAGAAAGTGAACAAAATTTTCCACCTTCTGCATTCTCGTCATCTTAAAGTATGTATCATTAGTCTCAGAGAAGTAAGAAGTGCATTCTCGGGTGACGACATCAAACTGGTAGTGAATCAAACTGGCACACCAAGCGGCAGAGCAAGTGTTGAGGAAGAACAAAGACATCGGCCATGCCTCATGGTGGATCAGTGAGGTGAAGGTATCCGCCATGCTCTGGCCCCAGTACAGCATGTAGACGTAGATGCAGAAGCCGATACAGTAGCAGACCATGTTGCAGAAGCCCAGGATGATGAGCCAAACAAAGCGAGGGTGGTTGTCCCCAGCGACGCACTTCAGTAGGTACAGACAGTGGTGGTCCATTCTGTAGTAACACTTGTCACACAGCTTACAGTGTTTGACATTCAAAGATGTTATTATCTGAGGAGAAACAAGTTCTGCACTTAACTGTAGTTGAATGTGAAGATTAAACAAGCAAATACACATACACCTAAAGCATCCCTCATATATAAAACAAGGATTAACAAGTCGGTGCCCTCCAACAGCCACCCCTCACTGCCATCATGTAACAATGATTCGAGGAACTCTTTTCTCAGCTGGACGTACGATCAGGGTGGCTGGCATTTGTCAATCTAATTTCACACCTCTGGCTTCTGGCTACCCAGGAAAGTTTCCGTAGTGGCTCGCTACCCGAGCACCCTCACGGGCAGTCGTGAGATTTCACACCCACACTACCCTGACCATCTGCATCGCTCAGCGCTCACATGATGGGGTAACATCTACCCCCAAATTGCACCCCTACTCCCCTTCCTCGCCCAGCGGCATGACCATGGCGTTAAGTTTAGAGCCTGCAGAACCAAACTTGAAAGTTTTGTTTCAAATCAGTGTTGAGTGGGCAAAGCATTTTCCGTCTTAGACAGGTGAAACTCTCGGAAGGGAGCGGATTTTTCTTTCCCTTTCCGCGTTGGACAGGTTTCCATTTTATACAGGTAATTAAAGAGGAATATATCAAGGGGGGAGCGGGGAGATTCCGTTAAGACACGTTTCCGTTTTATACAGGTTTCCGTTAAGGCAGGTTCGACTGTACTCCCAAATACGCCAGTCTTCTGCACTTGTGGCGGGTGAGAGGGCCCAGTAGTCAGTGAGTTAAAACACTTAGGTTTCAGTGATGCTTAACTGCTTCCTTAAACAAAAAGTCAATTCTATTTTTCTCTGAAATCTACAGTAAAGGAAAGAGTGTAGAAGACCAGATCATTCTGGAAAATATAGAATTATTGAAAGGGACTTACATCACAGTAAGTACAAAATCTGTATTGTGGATTTCTGGTCATGCATAAATCAATGATAGTCAATGGCTTTCCAGTCCTTGGGTTGAAAGCAGTGGACGCAACAGATGCTGGAAAATAATAAAGACATTCAAACTTTCAACATATCTGCATAGAGAGTCATTCCAAATTTTAATGCAGCAAAAGGGATAAATAATTTCATACTAAAGAAGGGTTTCCTCTGTCCACCTACTCAAAGTTTTCAAAACAACAAGTTCTTTGGTTTTTTTCCACATTTAAAAGCAGCCTATGATTTTCACACCATTCAGAAAAATTCTGGTACGCGGTTTCATTATGGTTCAAGGAAGTGTGGTCACCTGGTTTCAGAGGTAAAATTAGTGAGAAAAAGGCTGCTAAAGTTCAGCGACTTCCAAAGCTTAAAAGTTTTTAGAAACTGTAAATTTACATTTTTCTGCCTTAAATCAGCATTTTTGAGTAAAATCCACACAGTAATGTGTTTTTAAATGGACCTTAAAGGCATTGAGTCAAAAAACGAAAATTTGACAAAAATTCCCAAACCGACAGAAAAATGCCAGTTTCTTCGATTTCATTAATTTGACAAGCGCCTGATTTCACCACGATGCCCCACAAATACTCTATTCTTTAAAATGATGACAATACTAAAAGAAAGGGTATGATATGTTTTACAAAAGATCAGAGAAGATTGTCAAAAACCAGGTTACACAATTGATCAAAGTCATGGCCAAGGCATTTGAAAAACACTAGTATACATGCTGATAACATCAATCACTTCTCACCTGGATCCGTTAATAAAAGTCTAAAGAAGACCACATGAAGCATAGGGCATAAGGTCACAGATAACAATAGCACTAACAAATTGGTGTAGCCCTCTGTAAATCATTGTAAGGAAAGTATGCTTACAAAAGGAACCAAAAAAAGAAAATCGAAGTAATAATCTTAAACCTTGTTTGGACAACAAAAGGATGCTCAACATAAGTAGGCAGAAAGAGGAATGGGAGTTAGCATACAACTGAATGCTCATCTTGACAGGAAATCTGGCAGTAGTTTATACGATGAGCCCCACTTAGTCACCATTATAACAGGATTCTGACTACAGTCTGGCACCTTATAATAGTAGAAAAAAGGTTCCTAAAAGTTGTCCATGGGATGATGAGACTTGTGACAGTAATAATATGACTGAATGAAAAGTACACACAGGACGCTAGATCTACCACATATATCGGAGTGTGCTCTTTTTCCTAACTGTAGTCACTATTCAATATAGAATAGTAGTAAAGCACACAGACCATGCTCTAATGCAATTATTTGTAATATTGGTACAGTGGAGTCCACTTATAACGAGTCCTGAAACAACGAGAAGTCTGTTATAAAGACACTATTCTAAAACCCTGTTTTTTCCCTTCTTTATCTTTGTAAATAAAATACTGCTATAGCGCAATCAGACAAACACGGGAGTCAGTTATAGCGGAATATTGCTGCTGCTGTGCACAGCGCACAGGCCAGTTATACATGTATTAACCTTGCCAGTAGAGAAACTTGTTGGTTATTTAGGGAAACCTAGGACCTTACAACAACTCCTTGTATGAAACAAAGAATGGGAGAGCCCACGTTTGCCAACAATGAAGGCCTGAGCGAATGAGTGGGGAGGGTGTGGTATGCGCAGACAAGCAGAACGCATTGCGTGATAGGCCAGCCTAGTCTAGATTTTCTAGGCCTACCACTACCCATGCCCTCACTTCTCTGATGGTCACAATGCTGTGATGGATGGAGTGAATGTGTATGTAACGTGCGCAAGCAGACAAAACACACTACACGGTGTGGTGGGGTGGGGGACAACACAGAGGGCGAGTTAGCCCAGAGCGCATTTTTTCTGATCGCCAACGCCTGTCAACATCGCTGGCGCTAGGGAAAGAAACCCGATTTGATTTTTGATCAAGACCAAGAGGTCATGTTGAACAATGTCATCATCAGGGGAGATAACAAAAAGAAATAAACAGAACACCAAACTCATAGATTAGACTTACTTTATTATTTCCATTGAATTTTTTACTGGATTCCTTATAACGGGAATCCTAGTATAAACGACATTTCGCACCAGTCCCCTCCCTCTCATTATAACAGGATTCCACTGTAGTAAGAATTTTCTGTGAGCATATGTAATAAAAACAATTCTATATGTTAATCACTGGTAAGTGTATGTAAACTTGATCTTTGTCTATAACATGATTTGGCTATAGAAGGGATATCACATCGGCCCTGGCTGTCTTGTTATACGTGTCAAGACGCGGTGGAATCAGGCGCTCGTCAATTTTTGAAGATGTGGAGTTATTGGTATCATCTTAATCCTTGTTTATTTGTCTTGCCTCTGCACACATTTATCTTGAATAGAAGTCGAGATATCCGCAAATGAAGGAGGTGACGATCGCCTTGTTTCAGAGACTTAATTAGCGATAAAATGGCCGCTAAAGCTTGGTTATTTCCTTAGCTTAAGAGTAAGAGCTCATGGTAACTGAAAACTTACATTTTCAGTGCTTTTAATCAACGCTTTTCAGTAAAATCCACATCGAAATGAGTTCTTGAAGGGACATAGAAGATGTTGATCCAAAAAACAAAAATTCGATATTCATTATTCATTGTTCATTGTTTCCTGAAGCAACATCCCTGCATTCCAGACATGTCCATTGATGCTCCGTTGCTCACTCTAAAAGGCCACTGAGGGTCTTTCTACTGATTGTGCCATTCTTCTGTTCTTTCCTGCAAGGATGCCAGCTTTTCCGCTTGCTTTTTGTATTCCCAAAACCATCGTCCTCTCCACAGTAGTACTAGCCTCTGCCTCCTTATCTTCCTCTTCAACCAGGTGGCAAGAAAGACATTTCAAGATCTCGAATTGTCTGGTTGAACGGAGCTGTCTACTGAGGTGGCCTCTCCAGCCAGTCTGTCTGCTTTTTCATTTTCTCAAACGCCTGCATGGCCACGGCAGAAAATCCATGAGAGCTATCGTATAGGTGTTGCTTCGATAAGTTGAATCCATTCTGATCCCAGGAAATCTTTTTCAATCTTTCTGTGGGTACACAAGGAATCTGTGATGAGAACAGCATGTGTTGTGTAGGGGCGAAATTGGGTCAACCATTCAAGTGCTTTCGTGATGGCTTCAATTTCCATTTGCATACTTGATGTAGCCCTGCTGCAGACTCATCATGCACTGTGGAAGATTTTATTGTTGGCGATTGCAACAAATCCCCATCCACTTTGCTGGTTATCTCTTTTCACTGAGCCATCTGCATAAATTACAGGATCCCCTCCTTCTGAATTTTTGATAACAATCTCGTTGATATCACTCGTTTTTTAAATTAGATTAAAATGGCCAAACATGCAGAAAAATGCCTATTTCTTCAATTTCATTATTTTGACGAGCGCCTGATTTCACCATGCTGCCTCACATATGTTATAGCCGGGGCCCACTATACTTTTACATTTACCGAAAAGATGATTCTTACTTGAATATTAGCTGCTATCTCATAAACCATAAACTAAGAACCTTTAGTATAAAAAATAAATACATTCAAAAGCATACGTAGAATAAAGAGGGGACAGCTGTTTTTTAATTATAAACAATCGTGTGATTTTTGTGGGGTTTTTGGTTTCTTTTTTCAAGTGAGTATATGTGAAAGTGTGTTTGCGCTGTGTGTGTGTGTGTGTGTGTGTGTGTGTGTGTGTGTGTGTGTGTGTGTGTCTATGGCCGGTCCCAGAGTGGCTCTGTAGGTCTGACCTGTAGCTCGCCTGGCTCGCTCCATGCAAATGAATGTATACATTATCGTGTGCTAAAGCAGCGTAGCTGTATCGTCTGTTTTTTGTCAGCAGAGCTGCGCGATGCGTCAGACGTGCTATTCAACAGTGTTGTATAAATGGCGGACATGTGTCGCCTCGCTTCATGTTTATTTTCGACTGAAACTCTTCACAGATCATCAAAATCAACAAGAAGTATGTATTATTAGGTGCTTTACAATTAAATATTGATGCTAGCCTCAACACTTGGCCACAAAATCACCAAGAAATGCACTTTATCATACTTTGAAACTTTGAATCGAGAGGTTGACCTAGTTTCGACTGTTGTCGTGGGCCTTGGCCTAGGCCTAGATCTAGGCTAGGTGTGCTTCTCTAGATTAAGAGCTACTTTCCGAACTGCACACCCTCCTTGGCTGGGTGCACAACAAAATCTAGATCTAGATTAGATCCACGTTTATTCAATAATTAATACTCTCTCTCTCTCTCTCTCTCTCTCTCTCTCTCTCTCTCTCTCTCTCTCTCTCTCTGAGCTAAAATAAATTAATTCTAGTAGGCCTAGGCTAGACATACCGCCCGAGATGATCAGCAGATCTAGCCTTGCATTGTAACCAATGTAAACTATCGCCGCGCGCAACTACAAAATTTTGTGTGTTTGTGTGTTTGGGGGGGGGGGGGGGGGGCGGCTGCACTTGGCACATGACGTGAAGAAGAGTTGTCCCGTCTTGGTATAATTGGTCTTGGATTACACAGTATCTAAATATAGCAAGGCAGACCCGTCAGTTGCACACCTACACATGTCAACACACAGTGCGGCTGTGCTGACACGCACAAGGCGTGCGCCAGGCCAGCTACAGGTCAGACCTACAGAGCCACTCTGGGACCGGCCTTAGTGTGTGTGTGTGTGCATTGTTCACATAAAAATAAAACCTAAAATGATATGTTATATACTGTATAAAGGATACTTGGGAAAAGTAGCCAGAAGTAACATATCGTTGTGTGAAGTATCCCACCATAGAAGAAACCAGTAAAAAATGGATTCGGCCACCTGAAATTTAAAGAAATAGGAGATTTATACAAAGCTACTGTATTGATAGTTCGAGACCACATTTGCAACATATAACAAGATTCTGCCAGGTGAAATCTGTGACATTTACTTCAAAGCTAATTTTTAAAAAATAAAAGAGTAATAAAAATAATGAATAAAATTAACCTTAAATCAATTGATCATTTATGACAATGAGCCCTCACAAATACAACCTAACTACCAGCCCTTTCCATTAACTTAATAAAACCATCCTCTAACTTATTGATCGAAAACAAAAATTAATTACGTTTTACACAAATTCTCAATCAGAACAGAATCTTCACCCTCACAGGACATGACTTGTGAATTAACACAAGGTACAGACAAACAAAAATCAAAGTTACCGAGAAATATCTGGAATTCTGTGACTGAGTCCTTTCATCTGTATCCACACTTGAAGCATTCCCACCAAGAGCACAACATACTGGTATGACGAGAGTTGTTGTATGATCGTAATGAGCACTGTATAGAGGACCGCCGGGTACAACAGCAGAAAGTACCATGTGTAAACAGGACCATCCACTTTGGTGTGCTCAGGTTTGTCTGCATAATGTTTTAACACTGGGGCCAGCTCTCTGTTACTGTTGGCAGTAAAAAAGAAATCAAGCTTCATCAAGCCAATATCAATTCTCTGAAAAAGAATTGTGCAATAACTGTACACAAAAAAATATACTGACCACCACTACTACATTACAAATGGGAGGGGTTCTTAGTTTTTGTTCCCCTCCATACAAAGGAGGGAGCTTAAGGGGTAGCTGACTGTAGGCCTTTCAATTCGGACCTATATTTCCCTCACATCCTTAAAATCACTCGAGCCTGAGCTATTTTTCATCCAACAACCTATCAAGTCTGACAATTTATATTAAATATATTAAATCATTAATCATAAAAAGATTGTGAAAGCTATTGCAATAAAATAAATGCAACAAAAGAAAGAAAGAAATGCTCTGACAGAAAAGGAAAGCTGCATCTAATTTGCCAGATTAGTCTTCATTCTATCAATATTTTAAAATGTCAATGTGGGGGGGTTACGCAATTTTGTGTGTGCTCAATTTACACTTAAATCATGTAACAAAAGAAAAAAACTGTCCGGTATGGAATGTTCATGTTACTTCTTTTATGTGCTACAGAACATTTTCTGGGTAATTCAGAAACCACATAAAAGCAGTTAACTCTAACTTATGTATGTTGAGTTTGGCGTGGAAACATGAAATCGAGTCCCCGTCAGTAGGAGTACATGATGCATTTTGCAAAGGGTGTGATAGTATCCTGTTGCTATAGTTCTGTGTGAAGTCCACAACTAGAACTACTAGATTTGTATATCACTTGGACTAGACTTGGAAGAAGAAGAAAGCTATTCTGAATCCTACTTTAACTGTCACCCAACTCCGACTCCAACAGTTTATCACCTGAACTACAGCCCTATTCATAGCTCTAGCAGCTTCTAGTAAGTCTTGTGGGACAATGTGGGAGCCTTAGCCTTCTAGTTCACAATCAGACCCTTTAAACATGTTTCCTTCATGTCTTTGAGAGGCTATCTCCACTCTAAAAAAGAAAGAGGCTTTGTTTTCGTTCACAGAGCTTCTATCGCAATGCGGGGGTGTCTAACTTAGTTCGTTGCAGTTAAAAAAGTATTGCACTTAACTTCACCAAATTTTTAATGGAACGAAATAAGTGGGTTAGCCAAAAAGTACCACCAGTTTTAAAAAGATTTTTAAAATGTGGGTGAGAGCTTACCCATGCCTGTCATTTTGTTGAACCAAGTCCAACATTGTGTAACCAGCTTTATTTCTCTTCTTGAGGACTGAAACTCCCAAAATTTTCAACATTTGCCAAGTCATGTTTCCAAATCCTGCCTTCGCTGCGATGTGAATGGCCAGATTTCCTTCAGAGTCCTCTTGTCGAAGATCACTTCTCTGAACAAGCAAACAAAGATAGTTGAAGAAATCTTTTGGTGTACAAAAGACATATTTATTTAAAAAACAAGAGAGGGTTCTTATTTTTATAGGTACCACAAACTGAAATTTCAAAGTCTTCTGATTCCAAGGTTAACTGCACTACCTTACAGAATTTATCATTCTGAGCATTTTGATACCAAATTTATACATATAGCTTCGTTTTTTAAAAAGTTATGAACATCTGAAGTTGCAGAAAAATTTTATAGTTTTTTAATTGCGAAATGTCTGCACTTTGAGAGGTCACAACATTCTTAAATTTGAATGGACATTCACAAAAACTTGAAGACAAACGCCTATGCACATAGAGAACAAGCCCAATTTTTTTTCAGGGCTATCAAATAACCAGAAGATGGAAATCTATTGACGTAAACATGGCTTTTTGACTAAAACGGCAAGAAATACAAGGGGAGGTTAAAATCCCAACTCGCGACCACCGGCTTATCGGCTGCGCGCCGGGCCGTGCTGAAGGGAAGGAGAGAGAGTTTATACGAAACCAGGGCGATGGCGACGGGGAGCGTCCGGTATTTATTTGCGTATAATGGCTGTGTTATTTTTTAAGAGGAATGAATGGGCTTTCTGCCGATATATTTCCGTAGTCAGTCCGATCACTGGTTCCATAAAACAACAGCACCGAAAGTTTTCACATGCAAATCTCTTCTATTAATTCTTTAAGGACAGTCTTTAAAAATATATCACGGGAAAGAGCGTCTTCTCATCTTGAAATATCGACGAATCAGATTGCAGTATTTAATACCATACGCTCCCCGTTCCTGTTCAACCGAGGTCACTTAAAAAATCAATACACGAAACGCGCGGCCGCGACAGTGAAAACCTCAATAGTGTTGTCTTTTATCCTGCAAGATTTTGCTTTCAAAAGAATCGTTGATTCAAATAAATAATACCACTAAAAAGAGCAAAAGCTCCTCTTTCTTCTGATATATCAAGATCACATGGTGTTTTAGGAGGGTAAAAATATGGGTTTTGGTCTCCGTGACAGCACGCCACGGGGGCGCAGTGCCAGTTTGCGGTACCTAATTTTTACAAAAAATATGGTCAGTCTTGAGCGGACTTGAAAAAAACTCTTCATTACATACGTATATATTTAAATGCTCAATGAGGTGACAAACTTCAAATAAATCCTCACCAATGAACAAAATACAAAAGTAAGACTATTGAGTGAAGTACAAGGAATAGTTGAATCTCAAGAATCTATACATAAATAATAATAATAATGGATTGCATTTATATAGCGCATATCCACTTATGCAATGCATGCTCTATGCGCTTAACATGATACATATTATGGATTTACAAATCAATTTTAAAGGTACATAATGTTACATACTCATGCAAACACATATTCACTCACACACGCACCACACACACATACGTACATATGCACATACGCACATACAAACTCACAACGATCTACAGCTTGGATGCATTCTGTCTAATCGAAATATGATGAAAATAGAAATGATTTTAGTTTCTTCTTAAAAATTTCTAGATTTTCTGCTTCTCTGATAGTTTTTGGAAGCCTATTCCAAACAAGTGGGGCAAAATATGAAAAAGAGCGTTGGCCATATGTTTTGTAATTTATTTTAGGCTTAACAAGGGTTGTTTTGTCACTTGATGATCTGAGCGTTCTAGGAGGCACATAGGGTGTTAAAAGCTGTTTTAGATAGTCCGGTGATAATTCATTTAAGCACTTGTAGCAAGTTAAACTGATTTTATATATGATACGCTCTTTCACTGGGAGCCAGTGTAATGCTTTTAAAATAGGAGTCACATGATCATGCTTTAGTTTTTTAGTAATTATTTTGGCAGCAATATTTTGTACTCTTTATATTATATATTATACATATTATATTTGTGAACGTCTGTCACTTTCGCCGCCTAAAACTTCGGAACCTCTTAACTTCTGAATTTGAAAAAATTAACGGTGATTCAGAATCATTTAAAGGAATAACAGTTTTACTGAGGAGTCTGAAGTCACTGTAGTTTAATTTTCAGTTTTTCATTAGTTTCGTTCAGATCTAATCTTGGAAAAGCCTGTCTTCTAAGACACAATTGTAAACAAGTGAGGCTTCCGTTCACAAAGAGTGCGTGTACTGATCCCACAATGACTTGACAATGGATTCTTTTGAGTCCGTTCATCAAACGGGAAACCCAGCAATGTATTATATTTGGGAACTTGGAAACATGTATCACTTTTCCCATAAAACTGCAACAGCTACAGAGTTGAAAGTTGGCAAGTACCTGCAAAAAGATAGGCTACATGGGTCCCCATGACGGAGCCCGATTTTTTATTTATTTATTTCCTGAATTTAGAAAAATACATTTGACAAAAAGTTACTGTCCTTCTTTGGCCTTTGTGATTATTCCACTGAGAAACGAAACAAATCTGCGCAGCTGTCGGAAGTGATATTTTGCGAGGCGCATTTTGTTTTGAGAGTTTAAATCTAGGCCTTATAATTTTTTGCATCTTTCAAGATTTATTGCTCCATTCCAATAGAGTATAAAAATATAGTTAGTAGGCCATTTACTTTCAGTTGATGTTAATGTACCGATCATTCCTTTCATCGAAAGGGGGCCCAGCTAGTTCATCCATAAAAAGCAACAGACAAGAATAATTATAACACACAGGTATCTATTATCTATTTGTGTTGGCCGAATTTTGCTATTCAAAAGGCTTTTTAATGGCTGCATCGATCGACATGCGTTTTTCCGCAAAAGATTCTTTAACATATTCTCCAAATCATGACACCCTTCGTTTTTTCAGTTTTGAGACAGTTTTTGCTGCAAAAAGCTAAATTTCTTTATTTCGCCGATCCCTTTTGTAGGCCGACGCTTCTGTCTCTGTAATTTTAGAAAATTCGCCAGGTTTGTTTATTTCAAGTCGTACTTCCGCTCGATACTATCGCGCATTGTCGCGCAATACTGAGCACTATTTTAAAAGTGCAACCCGTGTAGATCTGTCTAATGTTTTCCTTTTTTACTTGGAGCTAAATTCGACTGTGATCCTTTGGTTTGATGCCCATCATCGCTTTTTTATTGCTCCATTCAGGTAGAGTGTAAATTAATACAGTAGGCCAATGACTTTTAGTTGATGTAAATACACCGATCATTCCTTTCATCGAAAGGGGGCCCAGCTAGTTTATCTTTAAAACAATGAAGATAAATAAAAATAAAGAAGCAGCAAAGAGCTAATTTTTGTTCATCAGTAAAAAGTCATATTTACGCCTTTCATCATCAAATAAAGGAACAATTCCACGTGTCCATGAGAGCAGGCAATGTGTAAAGGGCTCATAGAGTTGTTGTCCAGTTCTCTGGTATTCACTTGAAAAGCATCCTCAAAATAGCGAAACACTTGTCTGAAAAAAAAAAAGGTAAACAAATAGTTTGTTAAAATTAAAGATGCATAACAATACAGACCAAAATATTAGGATACTTTTTACTACATTCTGACCAATGAATTAATAAAAGGCCTCCAATCCTTGTATCATGAAACAAATTGTAAGAGCAACTCATGAGAAACAACTAAGTTATATCTTGAGTCAAAATGGCTGCCCCCTGCAGGCTTTTGTCTCAAATCAAAGAAATGATCGGTGAGATCTAGCAAAAAATGTCCCTCGAGAGAAAAAAAGACGAGAACCATTCTGTATGAACATTATTCACTCTTTATCTCCAGCAAGCTGCAGTGGCCAAAACCGCTGGGCCAGTGATCCACAGTCAGCAGCTCGGTCAAATTCCTTTGTGACAACTGAAATTATATTAACTTTTGGCAACTGCCAAAAATAGGTCTCTCTTACCCAGAGTTTGTTCATTAGAACTAGATGATGAACTACCAAAGCAGGTTATTCTTTTAAAAATTTACTAATCAATTTAAACATGTGTATGTCATTCTCAGGTTTTGTACCAAATGAACCGCTGTGCCGATAAGCTATCAAAATAGGCTCACTTGCTTTGATTTAATGACCAATTTAGTGATGATTTCGTCATTTCTATATTTAGTACCAAAAATGGGCCCCAGCCATGTGGGTTTACCCCCCTCGGAGATAAAGAATTAATAAACATTGCGGCTCTGATTGTAGTGCGGAGATACAAGCTGCCCAAATTTTTCTCTCATTAACAATTGTCCCATTTCCCTTTCACACAACTTTTCTGTTATCCCATCTGTTTGAATTAAAAGTATTTGAAATAGAATTCTAGCGACTTTTTTGACAACAGAGAATTTTTTTGTGCCTCCCCTCGCCCACCCCCTTTTCTAAATTGTAATTCTAGATATCTTAAGCCCCCATCAACACAACTAATACAATTTAGGAGGAAAACTGCTTCAAGCCTCCTCAGGCTGAGAGGGATACAACGTCCCAACAGACAGACCGATATACTCGATAAAAATTGTCCATGCTCATGAATCAAACACACATCTTCCATAAGCTAGTACAGCAAAACGCCTAACCGCAACACCAGAGACACCCGTAAAATTTTGTGCAAGCTTATAACCCCCAAACATATTGTGGAAAAAACAAATTTGTTTTAAAAATCCAAATGAAAGCTTTTATATTTGATTGACAGAAACAGGGAATATTGTAGAGAACAAAGTAAAATTTAAGATATATTTGGAAGCTTGCTCTACGCAATAATTAAAGACATACACAGCTCCACTTTCAGCAGCATGATGTAGTGCTCTCCTCCCATGGTCATCTTTCATTTCATATTTTGCTCCACACTGGAGAAGTAAATGGACAATAGTAGGTATGCCTCTTTTACTAGCATAGTGGAGAGGCGTCTCATTGAAATCTGTCAGAGCATTCACATCTGAATTTGCTTGAATCAACATAAGGATAATGTTGTAGTCTCCAATCAGACAGGCTCTGTGGAGTGCAGTCATACCGTGCCATCCTGAAAAAGATATGACACAAAATAATAGTGTAATATAATAGGAGTCAAGCTCCTCCAAAATGATATGGTGGGGTGTTGATTTGAGAGCAGTTGATCTTTTCTAATATCTTTTACTCTCATTGCCACTACTATAATTACAACTGCACACAGGCTTGGGTTGATTTAAATCAGTTGATTTTTTAAATTTTAATCAACTTGATTTTAAAAATAAAAATCAGTGATTTAAATCACTTTTTTTTAAAATAATTTTTTATCCAGTTTTTACATATTTAAACATTCAGAATGCCTTTCCTTGGTTTTATAAAACAAATATAAGGTTTAGTAGACTAATATAATCATGCTTGAAAGTCTGCTTTTCCCCCCAGGTCACAGTAAAATAATAAATAATACAGTTTTCAATTTCCTTTTTTTCCATAATTGAAATTATCATTCTTTATTTTCCTTTTAGACAAACACAAGCGCGCGTACACACACACACACACACACACACACACACACACACACACACACAAACTACTAAGGAAACGTCTAGATTTATTAACTGTTAACTTAATCATTTTTTTAATGTGAGATCAAATCAATTGTGACTGAGGAGAATAAAAACATTAACAAATAAATCACAAACAATGTAACAAAAATAATAATTCAGATATTATTGCAAGGAACAAATGGCAACTGAAGGAATTTTGAAAGGAAAAAATCGCTTTCATACAATATTAACAGTTTTACAATAACCAACCATTTAGATCATGTTGAAATTACCCATAGCGTTGTTTGGGGTTGAGGTTTTGAAAAGAAACACAATAATACAGTACTCAATTTACTTTTTTTTAAATAATTGAAATTAGCATTTTCTCTTTCTTTTTAGACAAACACACAAGCGCGCGCACACACACACACACACACACACACACACACAGGCACTGTAATAAAATGCAAGTTTATCTATGCATGATTACCCCCCCCCCCCCCCCCCTTTCCTTTGAGACTGAAATTTTTTTCATTTTTTGTCTGTAGCCATGAATAATTCACTGATATAGCATATTAAGGCTTTCTTTCGCAGTTGCTAAAATTAATCACTAGTTATAATAAATAAAGACTTTTAGCCACTAAAAATTCCAAACAGGGTTGACATTTTTTTTTAATAAAAAAAAAATTTGTAATCTGATTTAAATTTTACAAATCTGATTTAAATATTTTAAAAATAGATTTTTAAAATTTTTATTTAAAAAAAAATCAAAAACACCAACTCTGACTGCACACATTGTCATGATCTAGGTCATACTCACTAATAGACAAGTGATAATAGTATCAGTAACAGTTTAAACCATGCTGTCTTTCCTTACAAAGTGCATCGTATATCACCTGCTTGCTCCATGGTGCAATAAATCAAATTTTTCCACGAAAAATGATATGACACCCTTATTTTATTATAAAGGAGTCTACCATTTGCTATTAGGCGGAGCCCATGGGAGGATCGGTTCCGTTCCGTTCGGTTTCTGGTGGCTTCAGCACATACTATGAAATAGACCCCTGCCTTATCTCTTTATCTCCGGCAAGCTGCTCCCAGTGGCTCGTGGTCGGAATCACTGTGCAGGTGAGCCGCTGTTTGGGCACATTTCTTTACAATGAATTCGACATCAAATTACTTTTCGGAAGTTACCGAAAACAGGTCTCTTTTATCCGGAGTTTATTCACTAGATGAAGAACTATAGAAATACGTTCACTCGTTTTGATTTTATCATCAATGAAGTGGCGATTTCGTCATTTTTAGATTTAGTACCAAAAATAGGCCCCCGGCATAGTGGGTTTACCCCCCTCGGAGAAAAAGAGTAAACTGCTCACTTGACTAAAGGCCTAGAACATAAACACACTTGTTATAAAAGGTCATCGTCTATTACGTACAGCTTGTGCCACACAATTGTGGCTTTCTTCCTCCACAGGGGAAAATCTGGCTAGCCCTAATGACCAAACCAATGGGCACCGGGTAACAGGCCAGTTCCTAAACTAAATGTGGAGTTTACGGCTGATAGCAGAGATCTGCTAAGCATTTTTAATGCATGGCCCAATTTCTTCTTGGAGATAGCTGCCTATGATTACCTGTAAACAGCTGAGTATCAGGTAAACCTAAATCGAGTAAACCACCTGGAAAACAGTCTAACAGGGTTAACCTTAGCCTTAGAAGTCGAGGTAAATGTAAAATAAATTGGGATAATCCGGTTTTGGCCCCAACGATAACTACGGAGGATGGATTTTGGCTCCACCAACAATTATTTCTGGTTCTAAACTCTAAGCGATTACACTTTTCTATGCGTGTGCCGACATGAAGAGATATCAAACTGAATTGCAAAACATAAAACTGTGGTTAAATTCAGGGGGGCATCCCCCCCTAGCTGAACCGCCCCGTGCTTTTATATTTTATGATAAATTTATAGAATCACTCCAGTCTTATAAAGGGTGTTATTTTTGTAGCTTTTTTTTCAGAGTTTTTAGGGCCCTGAACACAATTTTAGCATTAAAAAAACGTTGCAAATGGTTATTTCAGCCCACCCCCCCCCTCCCCCCAACCCCCCCATGACTATATAAAGCATGCATTAAAAAAAGCCAAACCGGCATCGATAGAAGCCGCAAGACGGGTGTGATTATATACAAATACTGTTTTTATTGGGTCAAGGGGGCAATAAACCCCCATTGTTAAAAACAAGTGAAATATTACTGCTCATTTTGAACTGAAAAATGAGAGTGCATCTCTCTCGCTCGCACAAAACATCCATACCAAACATGTGTCAGTATCGATATTCAGTACTCTTGGGGCAAAAACCGGCAAATGACAATTTAATAAATCTAGATCACAGTATAAATTAAATAAGTATATATATATATAGAATATTTAATATCTATAAGTGTAGTGTAATATTACAGTGGAACTCGGATTCAACGAGGTCACTGGGCCTGATCATAGAGTTACCTCCTTTTCAACTAGAGTCCGTACAAGGTTACGTGACACGGACACATTTGAGTTTGTTGGCGGCCATTTTTAATGTGGCTAAAAAGTTTGTTTACATTTGAGTGGGCGTGTCTCTGCTCTTAGTCTTACGTGTTTTATTTGATTCTAACGTTATGTTTTGATTCAAAGCGATTCTCTTAAAAGTGCAAGCATGTGAAACCTCTTGTCCCTTTCTGGATTAACGTCTTACTGGTTCTGTCAGGCAGTTCAGTGATGTCTGTTTTCTTTTATTACTTCATCTATTTTTAGTGCATAATATGTCTTATAGACACAAATAGTCACTCCGGGTTTCTTTTTTAAAACATAAAGAGCCATCAGTAAGGTTCTGGGCCACGTGAAGTTAAGGTTGACTAGCAGCTAGATCTTTTTCACAATGGGCAGGAAATTTCTTTATCAAACTGAAACAGTGTACTTTTTTATTGTTTTGTTTTATTGAATGTTGTCCAAAAACACCTTATTAAAGGTTTTTGTTTCAGTTATCACTACACTGAGTAGAAAAACAATTGACTAGGCTACAAAACAACCTTTTAGTTCACTTTTTTATCTTTAGTGAGTCCAGAGTTGTCACAGTTGCTTTACTAATGTCCAAAATTAGACTTACTTAAAACAGCAATAGGAGGAGCTTTAGTTTAAGTGCTGTATATGGTCTACTTTAGTTCTTAAAATCAATATAAACCAAAGTTTAATACCGACATAAGAAAACACTACTTATAATTTAGTATACTTTTTAAAAAAGTGAACATATGAATGAAAAATACAGTTTCCTGTTCAAATGTCACATGGGAAAGTTTAACTCGATTTTAAAAATACCAGTACATGTATTCATCATTTGTTTGGCTGAATTTGCTTTATCAAGAGATTCATTGCATTCCTACACCTAAAGGCTGAAAAACTCTGGAATGTTTTTTTCCTATGGCTCATCCTCATTTAATTTAATGGCAAACTCATATATCTGAGGGGGGCTGGGGGGGAAGGGGGGGGTGTTGGTATTGGGATTCGGGAGGAGAGAGAGGGTGGGGTGGTTATATGAGGTTCCCATGACACCCACATCTTTTCATACTTCTTTTTAAAAGTTCTATAGGCCCTATACGCTTTGATTCGGTCAATAAGAAATAAACCACCTCGTAGATAAAGTGCTGATGAACAAATAAAGGTTGGGTTTTTTTTCTTCTTTTTTTTTTTAAAAGCCCATATCTCTATCTCTATCTATTTAATAATACATTTATTTGTAGATCTAGTTCTAGAAAGAACGCCGCATTATTGCAATTTAGTAATTTAGATATAGTACGCCACGGCGCCCATGTAAAAAAAAATCAATTAGAACCAAGCCTCGCCTATCGCGTATGAGAGAGAGAGAGAGAAAACATGCCTAGCCCATTGCTTTAGCATGAACTCCTTCACACAATTTGCCACAAAAAACATGGCGGACGCCGCTGTCAAATGTGGCCATCGCGCAGCAAGGCGAGAGAGGGGCGTACGGTATCTAGTACTATAGTGTACATCTATGGGCCTGATCTAAAATTTCGTCGAATCCAAGTGTTCGTTACAGCAAGCATGAGGTTTTCTGTAGATAATTACAGGCACTGAGCAAGTAATGTGTAAAGAAAAGTAACAAGTAGACTCTAGCGCCTGAAATGCCTGCATATTAATATGAGCTGTGTAAAAAAAGACCAATTCGTTCAAATGCACGCCTCTGTGTCATCTCGATTGTTTGCCAAAAAGTTGCGTTGCTGTGTAGAGCCTAGCATACGGCAACTTTTGATTCCATTGATTAGAGCACAATTCATTACGTAGATCTACGTTAAGACTAGCTTATATCATTGTAATAATGATCAGTTGCCAAGGGGCAAAAAAGACTGTGACGCATTTGTATCTGCGACGTTCAACGCCCAGACCGCTGGTGCCTCCCCCCACCTCCCCGACACACACTGTACACAGCCACACGTGTGCAGGCACGCATGTGTTGGTACGAAAAAATGCTGCGGATTGGTCGCATGCAATCGGCTAAGTAAATAATGGTTCACCATGAAGGTGCAATGGATGGTTTCCGGGAATAGATAAAGTTCATTCCGGGAGAAAAATGAGCGAAGCCACGTCTGCGGGGCTGTTCACCCTGGAAGCGACCTCGTTGAATCTGAGCTCGCTGATTTAAGTGCTCGTTGAATCCGGGTTATTTTTATTAATTTTAAATAAGGAAAAAAACGGGGAATCTATCTCCTCTCATTGAATCCGAGCTCGAGACAATTAATTTAGTCTTACTCACAGCGTCACTTTTCGCCCGATTCTGTTACTATTAGTTAGCGTGACTCAGCAGCCCGCCGGAGCCCCCCCGCTCGGGGTCACGGGGTTAATGAGCCCAGAAGCGACTTTGCCGGTGTCGGTCAGGAAGTTCTCACTTTTGACTATGTTTAAAACAATATAATTTCTTCCCCATCCCACATAGCAAACCATTACGCAGATGTACTAAAAGCTCAATGTCTTGAGATTTATTTAGCGTTAGAATAGTTAATTTCTGTGCATTAGTTTGTTCTAGACAAGTGTTTGTAGAGTACCCAATTTGTCCTACTTTAGTTACAAACTTATGAATAAATGATTGTTAACTGATTCCGCCCATTCGGACGCTGACAGCGGCTCTGAGTTTTTCCGCTGCCTCCATTCGGCCGCTGTGAGCGGCTCAACGAAATCAGAAACAAAGGTGCACTTTTTAACATAGTTCCTACTTTTTAAGTTGCCGAAAGGAAGTAGAACTTGTAAACAAACCTGACCTCAATCTCTGAGCCCCAATATCGATCGAAACTCCGCAAAATTCTTGCAAAAATCGTTGTTTTGTTGTTGCGATGTAGGCTATAGATCTAAAGGTAAACAACACGGAGCTTGGTATAATTAAAAGGCTCTTCAAAGAAAGATATATTCAACTAAATTTGTGAAATTCTTGCAGAAATGTGTGCTAGGGTGATATCGCTACAATGTTGTGTTGATTCCTATGGATTATAAGGACTTGTAGAGTTGAGAAAATGCGGTAAGTCGAAATTTTCGAAGAGCTGTTGCGCAATTTTTTTTTCTCATTCGTTTTTGTCAGAAGGAAAATGTAATACAAACAGATTATAGGTCATTGTTATTGATATAAACAGATTCTTCTATTTATTTCCATCAGTTTGGTATATGATAATACATATTAGAGTTACTTAGAGCTTCACAGTAATGCATCAAATAGATGCACCCCAGGTCTAAAACTGAACAAGGAAAAATAATTCTGTCCAGAGCCTGAAAAAATCATGGACGGAATCAGTTAATTTAAAAAAGGCATGCGTATCTCTCCAAAATCTGTGTTAAACTGACTACGAATATGTCTTTTACCATGAGAAATCTTAAATCTGCGCGAGTAGTAATAGTCAAGTTATAAGAGAAGAAAGATGCACATCTGCATTTTTTAACAAAAGATGATCAGCGTTAGCTCTTATTTTACTGTTAAAAAAGAGAAAGCTACTCTGCGTTTGTTTATGAATCATGCTGTGTCTGTGGCAGCCTGCATACAACTAAAAAGATATAAGATATTTAAAAACCACAAAACTGAGTAAATACATGGATAGATATAAACTTCTTGTATGGAATAAAAATAATGACAGCTAACACATTCATTCTTAGTTTTTGAGTCGGAAATATGCGCAGACACAATTATGAATGTAAAGAAATCAGTCACATTGTCAGTTATTGCAAATGGGCATAGAAACGAAAAATAAAGCTGGAAAAGTCTGGTGCTGATTCAGTGTCCCTGGAAAGCTACAAATTATTCTTATAACCCAATTACGAGGAGTCATCCCTATTATTCTGTCAATTTACAAAACCTAGACTTAGCGTTTTAAGAAAAGTAAGGAATTTCTGGAGTGTAAAAGATACTGTTCGTGTATTAGATAGCAATGCCAATTAAAATTTTAATTTTCACTTTTGCCCTTTTTTTTTTGGTACCTAAGAAAGAATTTTCAATTCTACGAATTATACTTCTTGAATTTTGAGAATCGGTTCATAAATAAAAAAGTTATGGGGTTGTAAAGGTCGGCAAAATATGGATGACCCACATATATATAGGAAAATACTCCTAAAAAGTGGACCACGCAGTAGCAGATTCTGTAAGAAAATCGACGTGGTGTACATATTACGATTTTGCGAAAAAGGGGTGTCGGGATGAGTCCATTTTATTTATAGCATCGTATCACAACATGGGATCTTTAAGAATATATGTTGGCAGGGTGACTAAATAATTGCAAAGCTTTTTATGATGACTTTAGACCATGCCAACCGTAAAAGATAAGTTAATTCAATCTAGCATGCCGTACAATTAAAAATTCTTTTTCCCCGTTGAGACGCAAACACCCCGAGACGAGATAACCTCGCCTCGGAATACCCCCATTGCGATCTTACAGGGGAATAGAGAGAAAAACAACCGGATGCGCGCATCCGCCATTGCCCTATTTCAAGTGACCAATGAACGGGCCCGGAATAGTCATGCGGGGATTTGTAGGTCACCTACATTTGTCACGAGAGTGAGGGAAAAATGGCCGGTCTCCGTGCGAAGCCGCTTTGGATAGGGGGGTAGTCATGCATTTATGGTCGGGTCTAAACAACTACTTGACACAGAACGTTCAAATCTGAGCACACTATAGAGGTTATAGATAGATCTATTACCATCTCGGCGTTGAAATTCAAACTCCTTATAGTTTTCGGTGTACACGATACGAAAGTGTTCCCGACACCAAAAGTATAGGTTAATTTATATTATGTGTACGAACTTCAACGTCCACATATAATTAGTTTGCCCTATTTTCTGATTGGTTGCCGAGTTTCATTCGGATTGGTTCGGAAATAGAGCAGACCGAGGTTGACAAAGTTAGTCACCTACGCTTCGGCCGGGTCCGCAAAATCGCCCGTAAACGAGGACCAAATTTTCGCCTCGCAGGAAAGCCCGATTGGCATTGCTATATTAGATCTACATTGAAGATGTATTCTAGAACTAAAATCGATTTGTACTTTTCATAGAGAAACTTCACGGTAACTTTTATAAACTTTCGAGAAAATATAATCATGCGAATATTCATGATTATATTAGACACGTAAAGTTGTATTTGGAGGAATTACTTCATAGCGAATTGTGTGCCCGATGGATAAAGTTGCAAAATTACAGCTTTCTATTATATGTGCAGATACCATCTTTTCTGAGTATCTGCACCAATGCTATGTCGTTCATGTTTCAAAAGTTAGAAAGATTTTGACGAGGTCTTTTTATTATACTGATTTTTTTTCATTCACGCTAGTCCAAAAAAAATTACAATTTAGCATTGCTGACTCCAGCCCGTCTAACGAAATAACGAGACAAGTTACAACGTCTGTTCTTTTTTCAGTCTCAAGAGCAGAAATGCGTGCTTTGGGTGCACTAAATGAGAATTACCATTTATAATACAAGGATACACCTTAATAAATTGTACGTTGAAAAGTACCAAAAATTAAGTTGGCCCAGACAGAGCAGCGACAGGGAGCTACCCTCCGTGACCCCGACGTGATAAGGCACCCGGCAAGGAACCCCCGCGGCAACTAAAATTCCACTGCCGGTGCGCCATGTACTCATACTCATTACATTTGTTTGATGGCTAAACAGTAAACAGTTGCTATGATCTAAACTTTAAGAAAGTGGCTATTCTCACCCGCCCGGAAGTTCTTGCAAGATCAACTCCTCCCCTCTTCTCTCTCTCTCTGTCTCTTTCTGAATACTGTCTATCGGTGTGGACGATCAAATTGACCAAAACAAAGTTAAAAAATGATGTTAAAACACAAAAGTAAATAAATTTGGTTGTCTACAAAGATGCTACGGCTATTTAACTTTTCGAATCGAGCCGAACTACGCGGGTCGCCATTTTGTTTTGCCCGGAAATTCTCGCGCTACTCCTCTCTCTCTTTCTCTCTCTCTCTCCAGACAAAATTGTACGCTTTTAGTAGGCTACAGTTGTAATGGAACGTTTGTTCACGACACAGAATTCTACAATTTTTCTGTTATCACAGTGTAGAATTCTGTGGTTTAGGGTGAACGCAAAATTTGGTGAACGCGCACCGGGTGAGAATAGCCACAAGACTCGCCTGAGGCTGAGGTGGCCAAACTTTAATACTACTAGACTAGATTCTAGATCTATAGCAGCTTAGTTTACTCTTAGTCTCAGTCTAATACTAAGGTCTAAATAGATTAAATAATTTAGGCTACTAATCTAGATCTAGTCTAGATCTAGATCTAATCTAGATCTATATCTAGATTTAGATCTAGATCTAGATTTAGATCTAGAAGATCTAGATTGAGAACCTAGAATCCTAGATTCTAGGTTTGCTTACCCTTTAGATGTACCAAGCCAGGATCACTATTTATCAACTGTTGCACAACAGGTGTAAGAAGGCTGCCAATGGAAGACATCAGCATGTCAAAAGCAGCAGCCTGTGTGCCGGAATTCGCCTGCATTTTCTCAGTCATTTCGCTTTCTCCAAATATTTTGATCGCTAGATCCTGTTGTTAGCCATTTGTAAACAGCTTCATCACTTATCCAATACTGATAACTGATTGGCTGAAATCTTCAAGACTTTTCATTAAAATTGTGGACGCTTTAAATTATGAACATAAAAGAGCAACGTTTGTTATATAAATGCATATTTATGTTACAATGAATTTGCATGCTGAGAATTTTTACAATTTTGGTCATATTTTGAGGGCAAATAATAAGTTGTTTGTATCCTTTCCTCATTTAAAAACTCTAAAAATAAACCAGCCTTAAAGATGTTTTGTTTGTGAAGGGAATTTGGGTTTTTACACAGCTTCAACTCTCTTCGTTTGAAGTTTGAAGGAAATCAATAGGGAAGGCCAATCAATAGGCCCTAGCCTAGAACCGAAAGTAGATCGAGATCGGGCTGAGGTCTGAGGACTGGACAGGGGGTTTGGTTGGAGTATGCCGATTCAGTCAACCAACTGTTATTTAATAATTTGTAATCTTCTGGCACCTATCAGAGGGTTTTTGGTGCTAAATTTAGATTCTCTTGTTATCAGCACACATTGTACTGTTACTAGATCTAGATTCTAGATCTAGATCTAGATTTCTAGATCTACGCTGTTTGAGTTTGAGTGCAGATCTAGAGTCTAGAGACTTACTATTGCGTGTTCACTTGCTTGTTGATGCCGATGATAATTACTGATCGATTTCAACTTTATTTTGACTCTTGATGATCTGCTGCTGCACGAACTAAACAATGGACAAGGGTGATCCCAGCAACGAAGATGGAACTGACAATGACAGTGTCCAAGGCTCTTCAGGTTCAGAGCAGTCTCGCAAGCGGAAGTCATCCCCGTCTTCTGCACAAGCTGATCAAAGCGCTGTACCATCAAAAGCCTCTAAACTGAGAGGTGGCAATGAATCTCCTAAGGGTGGACATAGATTCATTGGTGCAGCCTCAAATATAAAGTCGCTTGCCACATCTGAGGAAAGAGAAACATCACAAATTCAAAGCAAGAGAAAGCGGTCTTTAGATGTCATTGATCAGCAAAGTCCAACAGATGAAGCTAAGCTGGTGGTTGAGAAATCAGAATTAGAAAAAGGTGAGACCCCTTTGAAAAAGGCCAAGCTATCAGAGCAAGATGAGCCTAATGAGGCAAAGCAGTCTTTTGGCACGACAAATCTGGATACAAGTTCCGATGGAAATACATCATCTATCTCTGTAAAGCCAAAGCGTAACACAAGCACCAGTAAGCTAGGAAATGAAAGAAGCAAGCCGACGAGGAAAAGGACAAAGTTTTTACTCCAAGCTGTTTTGGAACAGGTGACTACCATTTTAAAAGCATATTGTAGCAACATTATTTATAGTGCTATATTTCATCATCATCATTGCCTTTCTCACCCTGCATCAGGGTATAGGCCACGGACAAACACTTTCCACCTTTCTCTATCCTGGGCTAGTCTCTTGATGTTATTCCATGTCTTCCCACTTTTCTGTACCTCAATTTCTTTGATTTTTCTCCAGGTTCCACGCGGTCTTCCCGTTGATCTCTTACCCTGTGGATTCCTATCCAAAACTTTCTTTGTATGCAGCTGCCTGACCTCCTGAGAGTTCCATTCCATCGCCACCGCCTTCTTCCTACCTATCTGACTGGGCTCTGTCTCGTTCTTTTTAATACTTCCTCTTTGGTGATCCTGTCTGTCCTTCTGATCCTTATTGATCAGCTTCCTCAGACGCTTGTTAAAAGAAAACTGGATCCTCTTTATGCATGTCTGAGATGTGTTCCACGTCTCACATCCATACAAGGCTGACTTCACATTTAGTTGAAAATTCTCAGCTTTGTCCGTAATGCGATATCCCTGGTCCTCAAATCCTGTTCAAAGAAATAAATGCAGTCTGTGCCTTTCCAATGTGGGACTTTATTTCAGCAACTGTTCCCCCTCCCTGTCAATTATACTCCCAAGATAGCAGAAGGATTCGACATTTTCTAGTGCATTTCCCTCTACTGTGACCTGCTCCTTTCGAAGTTCATCTATCTTTGGGACTTTTGATTTTCTGGGGTGGATCCTCAATCCAATCCAACAGACTCCGAATAGGCTGTTTAATACTAAAGTCTTTGCTTGCATCTATTCCTGGGTGTGCGACAGAAGCGCCATGTCGTCTGCAAAATTCAGATCGTCCAACTGTGTCCAAGGGGTACACTGTATACACTTTTTCTGTGTCCTCTGGTGGTTTCCTTCATCAGCCAGTCGACTGCCGATATGAAGAGGAAAGGTGATAGTAACATCCCTGTCTCACACCAGTCTTGATGTCAAAGCTGTCAGTGAGCTGGCCATCATGTACAACCCTGCAACTTGTCCCTTCTTACATGCTCTTGATGAGGTTCACCAACTTCTATGGGATCCCATGGTGTCACATCTTCCTTTGTGTTGCTCGGTCTATACTGTCATGGCGTTCTCGTAGGATCAAGGAAGTTGATGATCAGCTGGGAGTTCCACTCCAGGGACTGTTCCACAATAATCTTCAGGGTGGCAATCTGGTCAGTGGTTGAGCGATTTTTCCGGAAACCAGCCTGTTCATCCCATAGTCTTGGATCCTTTGCTGTCTTGATTCTCTCCAGAATTATTCTGTTGAAAACCTTACCTGGTATTGAAAGAAGAGTGATCCCTCTGTAGTTGCTGCAGTTGCTGAGATTCCCCTTTTTTGGAAGCTTCACGAGGTGTCCTTCTTTCCAGTCCTTTGGGAACTTGCTCTCTTTCGAGATCGTGGTAAACAGTGGAAGAAGGAAGTCTGCCGTCACATTGGCATATATTTGCTTTTAGGGTTTCAGGTGAAATCTGGTCAGGCCCGGCCGCTTTTCCTTTGTTCAGCTTCTTAATAGCATCCTGAATCTCTTGTTTTGAAGGAGCATCACAGCACATTGGTAATTCATTTCTTGCTGGCAGGATGTTTGGCGAGTTACTCGGTGGTGATCTGTTCAGGAGACTGTTGAAATGCTCTACCCATCATTTCGACTGAGCTTCCTTTCCTAAAATGGTTTTGCCCTTTTGGTCCTTTACTGGTACTTCAGGTTTCCCATATTTTCCAGCAAGAGTCTTTTTGGTGTGGTCAAGGACTATGTGCCCTCCTACTGCTGCTTCCTCTGCCTTCTCTGCTTGCCTGTTCATGAATTCCTCCTTGTCTTTTCTTAGTGATTTCTTGACATCCTTTTAGTTTTAGCTCTTGATCCTTTGTTCTACTGGCATTCGCTTCTGCCTTTAGTTATCTTCTTTCCTAATCAAATGCAATGGATCAATGAGTGTTGGCTAATCATTTCCTTATGCTCCCATAGCGTAATATTTGAACAATGTAAATTATGCAAAATACGGGAAATAGGACTAGAAAAGTCAGCTGATGATAAAATGAAAAAAGAAAAATGGATCAGTAAGTTTAAAATCAGTTTTATCATATTATTCAGCATTTAACAGAAAATTGTTAGGATAAGGCACCAGTGATATTGATAAAAGTTTGTCTATTCCTGTCACCAATTTGTTTTAAGTTATTTAGAAGTAAGTTATTTTGGTCTTTGTGTGCCTCTTTTGCCATCTATTTACACAGCAAGATGTTGTTCAGGCTTGTATTTTGATTCAAGTCTTAGACCTTGCCCCAGTTGGCTAGTAAATATTTATTAGTGACTGTTCCAAGCAGGCTTCTTTTAAGTACTTTCATTTGATTTCTTTAAAAAAGGACCAACCCCCCCCCCCCCCCCCCCAACATGTCTCATTTTCTGTTAGCCTTAGATTATTTCAAGCTTCTGTTTTGGTTTTCATTCTCCTAAAGGAGTGGACAGACAAGGATGCTAACAGTAAGAGACACTCTATGACTGATGAAAAAGAAAGTGTGAGAGGGAAATATGCTCCATTATATTGTGTGATTATATCTTTATAAATCATGTATTTCTTTTTGTTTCAGATGGAGTTTTATTTCAGTGATTCAAACCTCAGTAAAGATAGATATGTAAAGCATCTGTTGGACCAAAATGAAGATGGATGTAAGTGAAGTTGTGTAGAATACTGTTAAATATTATTTTACAATATCACAACTTACAGTACCCTTACTTTTTATTCTCTTCAGCTCCAATCTCTTAGACTTACACTGAATTGCCTTTAAAAAAACTCTGAGTCTGGTTACATAGTATGGTTTATTTAACATACCTTGAAATTGCTGTTTATGACAATAAATGTCCCTTTTGCTGTTCACTTTACTTTTTGCACAGTAGGCGTATCAAGACTAAACTCTAAACTGAGACTGTCCTGGTTGTTTTTTAGGGAAGTTATGATTTTTCTCTGTACAAGATAAAGTAAAAATCAAGTCTCTCAAACTCAAACTACTTAGGGGAGTCCGCAGTCCCCAGTGGACATTTACTGCGTAGATGATTTCCACTTTGAAGGCTTTGTCATGGTAACAAAATGATATGGAGCTTGCATAAAAGAAAGTTTGTTTTAAAATAAAAATGGAAAGTAAAAGCGACGGGAAGTTGACTTGGACAGTAGTATTATTCATACAAAGGACAGAAATGCTCAGTCCATGATGCTTTGAGCTTTTTACAGTATGATGATGTGCCTGCTTCTTGTGTTGATGATAACAAATTTTAATCTCAGAAAGTAAAATTGTGCATGTATAGTCAAAATGCTGATACTGTCTGTATATTTTAGAATTTCCGCATAACACAATGGCTTGATGATTATTATGCATTTTAATCAAACATATTATATTATTAGCCTTTTCATCCTGAAAAAGACATATATTTCAAATTTTACAAACTTGTATTACCCACAAAACTGTACAGAAATGAATGAAAATTTTATTTATGAAAATACTGTTTTAGTAGTAGTGCAGGCAAGCTAATATCTATGATAAATAAGGAAAACAAAAGAAAAAAAATAATACAGTCAAACCTGCCCTGACAGCCACCTGTACAAACGGCCACTTTCCATTTCCCCCCTTGCATTTTTTCTATATATAATTTAACTGTAAAACGGGCACCTGTCCAACGCGGCCGCGGCCACCATAATTTAACACACAACCCCTATCACATTAAGCAATAACACCTGTCTTAGACGGCCACCTAAGTGACTCCATTACGTTTTGTCATAAATTTTGCGTTGGCCCCTGGCGTTGTGGGCGAGCCGCCATAAGTCAATCACCTGTCGTTGTTGTTAGGTAGTCCCTCCAACCAATTATGTTTCATAGGCCCCTCCCACTGTTGACCAATAGCTACCAATTTTCAGCTGCTGGTGAGGTAAGCGTGGGATCCCTCATAAGCCCCGCCCAGGACTCAAACACAAATCGTAAGTGAGATGAGTGGTCACTGTTTACCCAGTCTGTAACAAAGTAACAAAGGACGTCAACATGAACTTGTGACAGAAGCGTCGCTCGTTCCCCGAGTGGTGGCGACCCATGTGTTTGTTTTAACATGGCACTCGGTCTTCCTTGTCTGATACATTTCGTTTTATTGTCACCCTTGTGCAAAATCAGCAACAAAATAAAAATTACAAACGAAATAGAAACCACCACCAACAACAACAACAAAAACAACAACAATGGGGCTACTTTCGATTGGGGTCTCAGATGGGAATGGTTTGTTTTCTTCATCTTGATCAGTTGATGTGCTGACTCCTAAAAGTAAATACTTTCCAGTAAAATGCTTAATTGTGTTTTTATTTATTTTTTTCTTTTTGCCAGACATTGACCTCTCTGTCTTTGGAAATTTCAACAAACTGCAAGCTTTACACAAGGATGGTGTTTCCAGTAAAGTTTTGGCCAAGGCACTGCAGCGCAGCAAAATCTTACAGGTAATTATTTTGCTGAATCATTTTATTTTATTTGTTAATGGTGCTGTAATTTTTTTTTTTGCTTGTGACAGTGGGGATTAGAGTATTTACCCTTTGTGTACTTTAGCAAGCTATTGATTATATCAAGTATTCTAATAATGAAGATCTGACGACAATATGTAAAGCATTGTTGTGAAATCAGGCTCTTGTCAAAATATTGAAATCAAAGAAATCTGCATTTTTATGGCAGTTGGACAATTTTTTTGTAATTTTATTTTTTGGGCACAACACCTTTTATGGCCACTCAAAAACACATTTATGTGAGAATTTTTCTGAAAAATGTTGATCAAAGGCAAAAAAGAAAAAATGTGTAGTTTCCAAGGACTCTCAAGCCTTGGAAGTCGCCAAACGTTGGCAGCCATTTTCTAGCTAATTTTACCTCTGAAACCAGGTGATCCTACCCCCTTCAATTGCAAATATCTCGATTTCTGTTCAAGATAGATGAGTGATTTTTCCATCAAAAGCAAGACAAAGGAAGTTGCTTTAAGATGATTCCAATAACTCCTCATACCCAAAAATTGACGAGGGCCTGATTCCTCCACTTCGTGACACATATATGTATTTGAATGAAAGCACAGCGGTGTACGCCTAATAGCAAGCACCTACGGTGACAAGAAAAGCGTGCTCTAATGTGCACATTCTATTTAGTCAATTTCAAAGATCAGTAATCTCGAGTAAGTGTTCTGTCAAGTTTCATTGATTTTTGTGAACAACCTCGCATCTTATCTGATGCAGTGGGTTGCATCATTGCTCTGAGCTCATTCCGAGGTGTGCAGTTTTCCTGAGCTGAACGATCACCGACAATGGTCATCATTTTTACAGTATAGCCTCTCACCAGTTACTGGCTTTCCTCATTGCTCAATTTTGTTTAAATACAACATGTCCCTTTGTCTTTTTCTCCCTAGCAAAGCCACAGTTTCAAGTGATAAAGGAGGGTGTGTGGTGAAAGCTTGGCTTCCATCACTTCCAAGTGAAATGAGTTACTTTTTTGGCTGATGTTTCTGACATTCGCACAGGAACGATCATACTATTACTATTAGCCAGAGAACACTGTCCCTGACTTTTTTCATTTTAGAATTGGTATTATTTTGTATCACTTTGTTCTACTCAATTAGCACTATTGCTTTACATTGTGGTTTCTTTTTGGTATTTTTACTTTCAGCTGAGTGGAGATAAGACTCAAGTCCGCAGAATAACCCCTTTTAAGGAAATAAGTCAAGAGGAAACAGACAGGAGAACAATTTATGTTGTAAGAAGTCTTTTTGTTTTTTCTTTTCATGCTTAAATTGAGTTGAACCGCCTGCTAGGAGACCTCAATATGCTTAGGTTCGTGAAGAATAAATTGTGTTATAGTTCCTAATAAATGAAAATCCTTTGAACAGTTGTTATTTTAAAAAAAATTTCAACCAGTTCCTAAACTTTACCTGATAAGAACTATTTGGCTGGTTAAATTTTGATAGAGATACGGTTTTGCAGTCGTTGATTTTTTTCTTCATTGTATTTTTTGTGGGGTTGTTGCTTTTTGTGTGTGTGTGTGTTTGATTTTGTGGACTTGGGTTTGTGAAGCATGTAGACGTACTGATATTGTAGTTCAACAAGTATGGTGTTTGCCATTCAACCCAGATATTCAGAGTTTGATCCCTGCCAGTGTCGGGTTATTTTTCTCATGTTTTCTACACCCTATGATCCTAAGGTAGGTAGGACTGAGCAAATAGTCTTCCCGAATATGGACACAAAATTTCATAGGTCTTGTGTAGAAGTTTCTCTGAAGCAGTTCTAAATTCAAAGAGTGGGCCCTTTGTCACTTGTGCTGCCAGCCAGACAAATTTCTAAATTGATTCCCACTCAAAACTGAAGATGCTGTTGCCCGTAAAAATACTGAGAGTACCTTTCTAAAGAATGGCATGTGGCTGCCTGTCATGCAAGGGATGATTCTATGTTGTTTAGATGAAATGGCTGTATACATGAAAATCAACCACACTGTGAGACAAAGATTTTGCAGTCAGTTACTCCGTAAGTTCCAACAGGGATTCGAGAAGAAGAAGAAGACACATACTGGCAAGTGTGAGCTTGAGAAAAGACTTATGACTTATCGGTAGTACATTCGACTGCTTGCTAAAACTTTTATTCAGTATACTTCAAAGATCAATACAGTTAAATTTCTCATTTTTTTCAAGGTTCTCAAAAACGCATGATTACGTGTCATATTGTTTTATCAGACCTCCAATTTTGATTTTCTGTACAATTTTTTAATGTCTTACTGTTCAATTACTTTGCTGTGTATTGAAAATGTAAGCTTTGTGTTAGGATTTTTTAAAGGAAATGATATAAGTCAGTGTGCGTTAATCGTGTTTTCAGGAAAACCTGCCAAGTCGAGCAACTCATACCTGGATAAGAAGTCTTTTCTCCCAATGTGGCAAAGTGGTGTATGTGAGCCTTCCTGTCTACAGAACTACCCGAGAGAAAAAGGGCTTTGCATTTGTAGAATTTGACACACCAGAGGAGGCAGCCAAAGCTTGTGTAAGAATGTGAAGTGTCCAATATGCTAACCTTTTTTAACCCTGATTTTTGATATTCATGATTATCTTCCACCCTGAATAATACCAACAATGACTTTTTATATGTCTGTTGTCCGATGTATTATATAATATCTTTTTTTTTAAGTTCTGTTATTTAAGATTCAGTTTTATTGTTTGTCACTTATCATATATTTCTTAAGGTTTTTAGATTCTTATGGAATGAGGTGCTCGTCAAGTTTTGAACACGTGGAGTTATTGGTTTAATTTGTTTGGCTTTCAATAAAAAATAACCCGTCTTTCTTGAATAGATGTCAAGATTTTTGCTATTGAATGAGAAGGGGGTTGCCTGGTGTTTGAGGAAAAAATTAGCAAAAAAATGTCTTTAAAAATTGCCCAGCAGGTGGAAAAATGTTTGTTTCTTTGATTTCATTATTTTGACTAGAGCCTGATTTCACCATGATAACACACACATATATGCATTGTAAATTTGTGCATACTTTGAATGTAGTGGTGATAATTTTCCGCCAATTGGCGGAAATCCGCTTTTTTTTTTCCTTCTGCCAGAAATTTTCCTCTTTAAAATTTCCTCCGCTTTTCCGTGATTCTGGCCCGTCAGAAAAATGTCATGCGCTTCTGTTGATAACAGGTGATAGCAGGGTGACTGCCAGGTGGCAATTGCGGCCGAAGCTCGATAGGGAAAATCAAAATCTACTTTAGCTTTCGTTACCACCCAGAAATTTGCAGATAATAATCTGATAATGCAACATTTGTAGCATGCAGGTTGTGCATGACAAATATAGTGTCACCATGAAAATAAATCAGTATTCGTGACTGTGCTGTCACTTGGAGGGGGGGGGGAGAAAGTTACAAGTAACAAGCGTCTTGTCGGGCTCGCCATTGTGACCGGTCAGTGAACCTGCGCACGTTCTGAGCGCTGCGAAGTACTGTACTACTGAATGGGGGGAGATTATTGGTTTTTTTTTAAGATACACTTGGGAAGGGGAGAGGCCTAAACGCAACTGCCGAGGACAAAAAACTGAACTTGGAAATCAGTTTTTATATTTATAACTTTGATTACTACCAGAACAGTCTGCAAAGTAAAGCACGCATAACTTGTAAGATTGTATTGAACTTAACACAAGATTCGCAGATTTTCAGTGTCACTGCATCTTACCATCCCACAGTTCTTACACCTCTTACTTTGAATAGGTCTACTTGAGCCATTCAAGTTATTACTCAACTTTGAGTCTGAGCCATAGTTTTTGCCTTTCTCGTTTATTATGTGAATCATGGCACCCAGACTGGTTCATGACAGTCGATATTCTGGTTCTAGGACTTTTCTCAGGCTCAAAACAAGATTCTTTTTTTAATAGTTTATACATGTATACAGGCGAATATGATGAGGGAATATGCAAGAAAGTAAGAATAGACTGAAATACCTAAGTCGCTCGAGACCCCAGTGCCACACTGACATGTTGTTGACTGACTACATATATGTGTGTACACACACACACACACACATATATATAAACATATGTATATATATATATGTATGTATATATATATATATATAAAACTAGCTGGGCCCCCTTTCGATGAAAGGGGTGATCCGTGCATTAGCATCAACTGAAAGTCATTGGCCTACTATATTTACACTCTACTGGAATGGGGCAATAAATCTTGAGAGATGCAAAAAATTAGAAGGTCTAGATCTAGATCTAGATCTATACTCTCAAAACAAAAATCACTTCCGGATTTTCTAAAATTACAGAGACGAAGCGTCGGCCTACAAAAACGATCGGCGAAATAAAGAAATTTAGATTTTTGCAGCAAAACTGTCTCAAAACTGAAAAAACAAAGGGCGCCATGATCTGGAGAATATTTTTTTTTTATTTTTGGTAAAAACCGCATGTCGATCAGTGCAACCATTAAAAAGCCTTTTGAATAGCAAAATTCGGCCACCACAAATAGATAATAGATTACATATATTATAAGTCAAACCTGCCCTGATGGCCACCTCTATAAGACGGCCACTTTTAATTTCCCCCCTTGCGTTTTTTCTATATAATTTAACTTTGTAAAACGGGCACCTGTCTGCCGCGGCCACCATATTTTAACACACAACCCCAATCACACCAAGCAATAACACCTGTCTTAGACAGCCACCTTAGTGACTTAATTACGTTTTGTCATAAATTGTGCATTGGCCGCTGGCGTTGTGGGCGAGCCGTCATATTTCAATCGCCTGTCGTTGTTGTCAGGTCATATAGTCCCTCCAACCGATCATGTTGCGTAGGCCCCTCCTGTTGTAGACCAATAGGTAACAAATTGTCATCTGCTGGTGAGGTAAGCGTGTGATCCCTCATAACCCATAAGCCCCGCCCAGAACTTTTACACAAATCGTAAGTGACATGAGTGGTTGCACTGTTTACCCAGTCTGTAACAAAGTAACAATGGACGTCAATATGAACTTGAGACTGAAGCGTCGCTCGTTCTCCTAGTGGTGGCGACCCATGTGTTTGTTTTACCATAGCACTCGGTCCTCATTGTCTGACACATTCCGTTTTATTGTCACCCTTGCACAAAAGCAGCAACAAAAGAAAAAAACGAAAGAAAAAAACCCAGCGAAAGCAACAATAACAACAACAACAACTATGCAGCTACCTTCGGTTGAAACCTCAGAAAGGAATTCTTTGTTTTCTTCATCTTGATCAGTCCTGCCTAAAACAGCCACCTGTCTTATACGGCCACTATTCTCCTTGACTATGGGTGGCTGTCTTACACAGGTTCTGTTTAGTTTTAGTAGAGGTTTTACGGCGCTCGCAACTGCATAAGGTCATATGAGCGCCAGAAGATTAAAGGTGTCACAAGAGAGTAACATACATAAAAAAGAAGAAGGGGAGATAAGGATGATAGATGTTCCATTGGAAAGAAGAAGCAAACCACACCAGAACACCCGCCAACCATCCACTTACACAGGTTCGACTATATATATATATATATATATATATATATATATATATATATATATATATATATATATATATATATATATATATATAATATATACATAACATATAAATGGAACATGCACTGTTGTTGTTATGTAAAATGCCCCTGGAAAGTGGATGACCCCCCCCCCCAGTGGAGAATTTGAGAATTTTCCTCTTTTTTGACCATTTTCTATTATCACCACTGTGGATCTGGTATCCCTCTCATACACTCTTTGCTCTATATATCTTAAATAGTTGCTGAACAATCCACCTCCAGAGAAGGCACAGGAAAAGCCTGGAAAATTTCCAAAAAGTAACAAGACTCTGAATAGACTGCAGAAAATTGTTCCTGAAAAGCCTGGTAATATTCATTTGCCTTTGTAAACTGGTTTGTTTTTCTTGGAGGGGGGGGGGGGGTAATTTTAACTTTTGTATGTGTTCTTAACAGTTGAAACACACTTTTTTTAATTGCATTTTACATCAGCCTGTTTTGCATATATATCCTTTCTTTCATACCTGTTGTATATTAACAAAGCAGAATTTATTAATTTATAGCTGAAACAAATTAAGAAATAAAAAAAAAATTCGTTTATTGTTGATTTGGTAACAGTCCGGTACTATTGATTCAAATACTTTATGTATTTTAGAAATTTCAAACTAACTTTATTTATTTTTGCTTTGCTTTAGGTTTGTGAATTTGTGATGAGTTTGTATTAACTGATCTACCTGTCTGACCTCTGTTTTTATTTTATGTTCAAAATTGTTATCATGGCATCATTTTTAATAGTTTTGTTTATGTGTTTTATCCTTAGAACAAGATAGCAATGAAGAAAATTTCTCAGACGATCAGAAAAAACAATCTGTGAATCCAACCAGCACAGAAAAACCGAAAAAGAAAAAGAAGAAAAAAGGGAAAAAGAAAAAACCTTCAGAGTCGGTTTCAGAAGAAAAGCCTGACACTGCCAATGCTCCACTTCCTGCATCAGAAACGTCTGAAGTGAAAAAGAAAAAGAAAAAAAAGAAGAAGAAGCGGCCAAGTCTGTCTCAAGATACCAATACTGGGCAGGATAAAACTGATGTCAAACCAGATGAACAATCAAAGGAAGGGGAAGTGCAGCCTTGTGTTCAAACAGAATCTTCACAATGTGAAACAATTATGTCAGATGATAAACAAAAGCCTACAGATGCGCCAAAAATGGAAGCTGAACCAGCCAATGAGGAATTAGTTGAACGTAAGAAAAAGAGAAGAAAGAAGAAAAAAAAGAGTGAAAGTACTCAGGAGGGAAAGAAAGGCGAAGTACATGAAATTCAGTTTGCCAATGTAAGCAAAACCAAAAAAACAACAGAAGATGATGTACTTCTGAAAAGTGAGGAAGTGGTGTCTGAAAATGCTCCTGTGGCAGAAAAGAGTAGCGCAGAAGAAGTTACACTATGTCGGAAAGAAAGAAAAAGATTGAGGCAAGAGGACATTAGAAGAAAAAAAATGGAGAGGGAGGAAAAAGAGCAACTCGAAAATATGGAATCCGTAGAACTGAAAAGTGTGAAGGCAAGGGAACGACTTCGTAGTGATATCTCGTTGAGCTCTCAATACACAGATAGTGAAAGTGAGGATCCTGCTCGCATTCTGCTCAAGAGAGATGGCTCTCAAGTCACATCCATTCTCAAGTCTAAAAAGAAGGCAGTTCCTAAGAGAGTAGAATTTGACTTAGTTCCTGAGACCAAGGAATTTATCAGGGGCAAAGAAGTCAGGAAAAGAAAAAAACTGAAGAAGGAGAAGCTGCACTTGAGAATAATTTCAAAGTAAGTTGGAAGTTCAATAAGTGAAGTTGAGTCGCTCATGAAATTTAATCTTTTTCTTTGTCTTGTTTGTATTTGTTTTTTAATTCAGTTTCTCTCCAAGGGAGAAAAGGATGAATTTTAGAGGGGTTTTTTTGCTCTATATTCTAACTGTTGACAATCATTAACTTGAAAAGTTTATTTCTTAGGCCATGCTTTGATAATGAGAGCTGTCATGAGTTAAATTACATTCTTAGATTTATAGATTTAAAAATGAAAGTCATTCTCTTGTTCTTTTTGTTTTTTGATCTTTCATAGTTTTGTTTACTCATGCCATGTGTGACACTTTCTTCCTGACATGACTCTTTAGGTTTCAGGTTTGTTCTACCTCGTTGACATTTTAGGTTTGAGTCCTGGAGGTGGCTTTATTTTTCTCCTTTTTCATAGAATATTTCTTATCTGCTGATCGTTCTCATAAAAGACCAAGTAGCCTACTCTACCTTTGAAATTTTTTATATTTTCTCAATTAGGGCATTAGGTTTGAATAACAACATACTTTTACCTGTTTAACAATGGTGAACAATACCCTTTTTTAGCTGTTTAATTATTTAAACATTTTTTTACCATAGGAGATGTTATAATCTGTTTCGTTTGTTTTTGTTGAAATATAAGTCCCGAAAAAATTTGAGTTACATTTTTTTTTTCAAAAGTGGAAGGGAGGGTCCCACACTGACACAAAATTTTCAGAGGGGATGACGAACTCAGACCTCTTTTTTTTCCAGTTTTTTTTTTTTTTTACCATCGCAGCTCTTTTGCTCATTTAGCTGCGTTATGATTTCCTAGTATCTTTGTGTGTGTGTGTATATCATGTCTTTTTTTTTTCCAGGAAAGAGTGGGACACATTGAGAGCGGAGTATATCAACCAGCAAAAATCTCACATGACAGCCTTAAAAGAATCATTAAGAGAACTGAGGCAACAAGAAAATGCAGGCAAACCTGAGCCAAAAGGTGACACCTGACATCTATTCAATGGGTGTTAAAGAAGGCCAATATTTCTTTTGTGTTCTAGTTTTGGGTAACTGCATTTTCTTTTTAATCAAGCCACACTCAAGCTTGTGTCCTTCAGCCGAGAGCTCTTTCTATGTTGCTGTCTATTACAGTAAAAGGTGGTGGGAGGAAATGGCGTTGTCCCACATCATGGAAGTTATTTTTTGGACAAGGACGTTCTTTTAAAATTCAATTCAATTTTCTTTTTAATGAAAAGGAGGGGGAAGTAACTATGTGAAACTGGAGCAAATGTATTAGTTTATTAAAAAAATATTAGGTCCTTTGTTTTATGCCAGTCAGAAGGGAGAGCTCAAAACTAATATCAGAATGGGACTTTAACTGCTGTATGTTCAATGTGTAAAAAAATATTTGAATTTTAGGCAGAGATGTTACTTTTCACATGTTCATGTAATGGAATTATCTGCCTCTGGGTAAGATCCTTCCCTGACAATGAATTCTTCATCCCTTTGCCTACTATTATTATTAATTTTTATTTTCATATGATATATTTTTTACTGTTGCAGGCCCGCGACATTTAGACCTTGAGGATGTTTTTGGAACAAAGCGCCTCAAGCCGAGTCGGGACATAAAGATGGCACATGTTGAGGCTTTGAAATTTATTCCAAATGTTATAGTTCAGTGGAGATGCACACATGAAATGCATAGAGACAAAATCCGGGTGAGTTAACAACCTGTCAAAGTTACGGTCTGAACCATATGTTTATCTGCACCATATGTTTTAGAAATATGTTTCATAAACACTTAGCATTCTTACTGCCAGTTGTGGCTTTATTCTGACCTTTTTTAGACATACAGCTGCCAGTCCCATCATGTAACAGCTGGAATATATCTAAATACTGATTTCAAGATATGTGTACAGTCAAACCTGCCCTGACAGCCACCTGTACAAACGGCCACTTTCCATTTCCCCCCTTGCTTTTTTTCTGTATAATGTAACTGTGTAAAACGGGCACCTGTCTAACGTGGCCGCGGCGCCACATTTTAACACACAACCCCTATCACACTAAGCAATAACACCTGTCTTAGACGGTCGCCTTAGTGACTCCATTCATTACGTTTTGTCATAAATTGTGCATTGGCCCCTGGCGTTATGGGCAAGCCGTCATAATCCAATCACTTGTCGTTGTTGTTAGGTAGTCCCTCCAACCAATCATGTTGCATAGGCCCCTCCCTCTGTTGACCAATAGGTACCAATTTTCAGCTGCTGGTGAGGTAAGCGTGTGATCCCTCATAACCCATAAGCCCCGCCCAGAACTCCTATGCAAATCGTAAGTGAGATGAGTGGTCACTGTAAATCTGTCCCTGTCTGTAACAAAGTATCAATGGACGTCAAAATGAACTTGCGACAGAAGCGTCACTTGTTCTCTGACTCTGAGTGGTGGCGACCCATGTGTTTGTTTAAACATGGCACTCGGTCTTCCTCGTTTGATACATTTCATTTTGTTGTCTCCCTTGTGCAAAATCAGCAACAAAATAAAAATAACAAACAAAATACAAACCAACAGCAACAAAAACAACAACTGTGCGGCTACTTTCGATTGGGACTTCTGATGGGAATGGTTTGTTTTCTTCATCTTGATCAGTCCTGCCTAAGACGGCCACCTGTCTTATACAGCCACTTTTCTCCTTGACAACGGGTGGCCGTCTTACTTAGGTTTGACTGTATTTTCAAATTAGCTTTACGCTCTCCAAGGTTGCTTTCTGTAATTCTTTTTTTTCTGTAAACCCCTGCTAAAGCTCATGGAGTAAATGACTGTAAGACTTTCATGTCACAGTGCAGCTGATTTTTTCAAACATGATCTACTTGCTACTTTATACTGACTAGAGTGGCTTCAGTATTTAGTTGGAATTAGTTTTGAATTTGGCCAGGATGTCTGCACAAAGTGCCTACTGTTTTCAATTTTAGAACCACCTAGGGATCTTAAACTAATGTGTGAAATATCCACTCAGGACCTCCAAAATTTTTAGTCCTTTTCCAAAAAGACTAGGTGCTCAATCCTTCCTACGATAGAGCTGGGTCGCGAGAACGGAACTGAATCGCCACTCTTCCCTGCGGAACACGATTCGCGATTCACTTCAGCGGAATGCGGAACAGTATTGCCTTCCGATTCCCGATTCACTCCCCTGTCGCTGTCACCACCTTCTGGCTTGTTTGTTACCAACTGCGGAACACTAAATATGGCTCCCCTTATTTTACAAAAGATGGTATAGTCCAACCCCCCCTACTAAAACAAAATAAACGGGGTCCAAACTATAGACAGAAGGAATTTTATGGTTTTAGCGAATCATGGGGTTGGGGGGGGGGGGGGGTGAATTTATGGGGGTCGCTAATTGAGGTTAGTAGATAGAACAACGCAACGAAGGGTGTGGGGGGTGGAGAGGTTGGCGGGGACAACAAGAGTGGGACTCGCGCTCGCCAAGTGGATTGGTGGGGAAGAAAACGTGAAAAAACCCCAACCCAACCTGACTCTGTTGGGAATCAAACTCAGGGCCTCCTGCAGACACCATACCTGTTGACTTAGTGTTGACACCATACCTGTTGAGCCCCCTACTAATGTAATGAAATTACTCTGTTATAATAAATATATACTTCCCTGCAAGTGTTATTTAGTCGACTAATTTTTTTCAGTTCTTCAGATTTATGAGATTCTTTCATACTCAACATTGGAAAAAACTTTGTTTTTTCACGGATATGTTTATTGAAAAAAATGTATGTGGTTGCCCCTCTAACATGTTCAGAATAATGAATTAACCACAGTATTAGTGTGTTTATAATTTAAATGTAATTGCCTTGTCATCTTATCAAATTTTTTTGTTTGTGAAAGTGCAAGATCTCGTTTCTCAATTTTCCTTAATTTCCTCTGGGCATTTTAATTTAACTTGTGGTGTCAGGGTCTGGCATCACATACCAATGCTTGTGATCTGACATAACACCTCGGGAGATTTTATAGCATTTTTTGTCATTTACATGTTGTTTGAGGATGCTATGAGTCAGTCCCACCCTTATTTCCGTGTTCTTACCAAATATAGTTTGTCTTGTGTCTGACTGTGGGCTATTCTTTTCTTTGTTACAGGACATGCATGTAATTGATGATATTGCTGACATCTTTTAGTTCCCCCTTTAAGTGATGAAGGGACAAGTAATGGTGTTTATCTTGAATATCAGTTTCACAAAGCTGTGTACATAACATTTTTTAATGTCTCTCTATATAAACGGTCGAAATTGTTCAAGAAGACCACCCATGGACGAGGAGAAAAGTAGTTGTCTTAGACCGATAGATGTCTTGGACAGAGTCTTTATAATATAGAAAAAAAATGTGGGGATGTTGGGGGGGGGGGGGAGGAGTGGAAAGTTGTTGTTTGTACAGGTGATTGTCTTAGACAGGAGGCCGTTAGATGTTAAAGAAGGTTGGACTGTATTGAGCACTCTGTTCTAGTTTCTTCTTTGGATTTAGGAAATTCAGTGCTTTAGCAATGCAACTACTTGCCTTGCTCAGCTATCTTTTAAAAGAGTTGTTGTAGAAGAAACTTGCAGATTTTTTTCACCTCTGTGTAAATATACCTCAATTTTTCAGGGTATGTTCAAAAGTCTTGGAAGTGGAATTGCATACATTGATGCAGAAGAAGAGGCAAAGAGCGGATACATTCGATTTACAGATGAGGAAAGTGCAGAACGCTTTACCAAACTCACACTGACACAGTGCTCAAGTTCATTTAGTGCAAGAGTTCTGCCTGGTAAGTAAAAACTTGAATGCTAAGTCCAGATTTTAAAACATGAAATGTTGATTTAATTATATATTCCTCTCATAGCACTTTGCAACTAAGCAGATTTCTCTCTTGTAATTAGTTTTTCTTTCGTTTCTTTGAGTAACTATTATCTCACTCACTACCACAACCGTAACTGTTGCAGGTGAAGTGGCTCCGATGCTGTGATACCACACCCGCAACACTCGCGGTTCGCTCTTTGGAATTTTTTTCTTATCTTAAAACCACACCATTTGCGGTGCTGGTTCGTCTTTTTCGTAGCCCTTTCAATTATCTTTCTTTAGAAGAAACGGAAACAAATTCGGATGAGCGCAAGTTGAGTTATTGATTTTTACGACAACCACCATTTGAACTGAATTTACTATTACGTTTCCCACAGTGGTAGATGGCTTCTTTGACCATTTTCGAACATTTGACAACAAAAAAGTGACTCAGAAACTGATGAATTGGTCGAAGATTGTTATGACAAACTGGGTGGGTAAATTTGCAAAGAAGAGTAAGGTTTAGTAGGGCCCCCAAAACCTAAATCTAGGGTTGCAGTAGTGGGGAAGAGCATGAGTAAGAAAGGCAAAGGGAACGCAGTTTTTGACCAATTTTTTAAAACTTGTGAAAAAGAAAGTAACAATAAAACAGAGCTGTAATTTCATCAGGGCAATCTTTATTATGTTCAAAAACAATGTTCCCTATTTCAAGTTTCTATGTTAATTAAGCGAAAGCACAGTGATTTTTAAAAATTACCCTTTACATAGCTGGTACACGGAATAGCTACCCCGAAAATGCCTGGTAGCAAGTGAGTTATTTTGATAAGGGTTCTCTCTAACAGTGATGTCCCCACAAGACTCTGTCACAGGTTTAGGAATAGGCTTTACGACACTCTCTTTAGAAGAGTCCTTTTTCATATTCCAAGTCAGAGGTCTATTTTTCTATAAATTCATAATGCCTTGATTTTTTTACTTTTTGTCTGTTTTGGACTTTTAAAGAAAAAGTAATGTTGAACCTAATTTTCTTCTACTAGCTGAAAAACAGCAAGCGTACTGGGACAAAGCTAATGAGGACAGAATGAAAAGACTTGGAAGGAAAAGAAAAGAAAAGGGCTCGGAGAAGGTAAGCTGAAGTAAAAAGAAAAAAAAATCAATTCAGACTTTAGAGATGAAGATTTTGTTTCAAGAGGTCAGGGTAGAATTTATTTTTTTTTATATAGTTTCTGTACACCTCGACCATGCTGCTTCTTTGGTGACAAGAGAATGTGATGACCTGTGAATGTGATTACCTAAATGAAATGTGTTGTCTGTTGTCTCACTCATGCTTTCTGTCTTTGTTCAGTTCACTGTGAAATTATAGCAAGGAAATGTACTATAAGCAAATGGCAGTTTCTTTGCACAATGATAGCTATTTTCTTTCAAGTGAAATGAATTTAGCCTTTATGATGTAGAGCAGTCATGTCAGGAGTCAATTCTAATGGATCCTTTTTTGTCTTCCATTCATTTACTTAACAGAATTGTTGCAAGTATTTATGATTCAGTCCAAATGCAATTGTCTTAAACTTATTATTATTACTATGCTTCTAGTGGAATGTCTTGAGTTCCATTACAAAACAATGTCAATGTTTCTTTTTACCTATGTATACCAATTGTTGTATTGGCATTTGCACAATACTTCACTGTAAACAAAATCATCTTGACCCTTCACCTCCCTGTTTCATGTACTGTATACATACATTTTTAAAATCAAATTGAATTCTCTATTTGCTTTTTTCAGTTGGCAAGAAAAGTATTTGAGAGGAATAAAGCTACATTCTTCAAAAAACCAAGCAGAATTGTCTTTAGTGACGGAGATGATGATGTAAATGATGAGGAAAAAAAGGACGAAGATGATGACAATGATGAGGTAAAAAAGGAAGGAGATGATGACAAAAAAGAGGAGGAAGATGTCAAAGAAAAGGACCAGTCTGAGTCTGTAAAAGAGGATAGTGCCAAAGCATTAGAAGACCAGAATTTGTCAACAGAGGCAGCCGTTCAAGAGGAGGGAGCTTCTTAGTGTCATACAGTCTAGCACGCACATAGCAAAATTGGCAAGACACGGAAATCTTTTCATATGGAGCATTGTGAAAACAGACGCTCGTCAATTTTTGGGCTTATGAATTTATTGGTATCATCTTTTAAAGCCTGTTCATTTGTCTTGCTTTTGGTGAAAAAAATATCCATCTATGTTAAATAGAAGTCGAGATATTTGCGAATGAAGGAGGCGGGGGTCACCTGGTTTCGTAGGTAGAATAATTAGTGAGAAAATAGCGGTCAAAGATGAGTTATTTCCCTAGTTTGAGAGTCCGTGGAAACTGAAAATATACATTTTTTGTGCCTTTAATCAACGTTTTTCAGTAAAATCCACACAGAAATGTGTTCTTTAATGGACATGAAAGGTGTTAAGCCAAAAAACGAAAATTCAATTTAAAAATTCACAAACATGGGGGGAAAATGCCAGTTTCTTCACTTTGATTATTTTGGCGAACGCCTGATTTCACCATTCTGCCTCACATACATGATATATTTGCCCAAATATAACGATGTATGGATTTCAGGCTATATCAAGGGAATCAACAAAACCGGACAAGTGTGTCAAAGTTTTACATCAATTATGCCCCCTTTGAAAGCCTTCCAGGGGTTGAGGGTCCACAGTTGCTTAGATTTGCAGATATTATGGGTTTTTGAGATTGATAGTTTTATCCGTCTCAGTCCTCTGCTAAGATCAGCCATTTGTCCTCACTTCTTTTGCTTTGCCACATTCTACTCTCTATTACAACTTTACCTGACCTACCTTTGCAGAAAACCAGCGAGCAGTTATGAAATGTGATCTCTCTGTTGAAGAGGAAGCGCACTGACACACATGTCTATACTGGATAAGTGCCTTCAGGCAACGACAGACTCCCCACACGTAGCTGAAGTCTGCAGATCCACTGCTAAACTCTTATGCAATGCTTGTTATAAAAACATCCTTGGCTGACACTATAGCCTTTGACTCTGGTCTATAGAGGTCATTGGACTACAGGTATACCATACCTGCTCTCTCTCTCTCTCTCACTCTCTCTCCCTCCCTCCCCACTTCCATAAAAATAAATATGCGGCCATGTTGAAGTAGGTCTTCCCTCTCTGGTGCCATTGTTTTTCGCTGTTTTCTGTTCCTTTAATTAAGGTACAAGTGCAACCCCACTGTAACCCTGGATGTTGAGCACTTGTCAAAATGGGGTATTATTTTTTTTATACAGTGGAAACCACATATAACAGGTCCGGTAATAACAGGGATACTGCAATAACAGGGATTTTTTAAATCCCTGTTTTTTCCTACTCTTTGTCTCTATTAAAAGTAATTGGCAACAACAGGGCCTCATCGGAGCCCAATCAGTTATAGCAAGGACAAAGGCTCGTTAACAATGTAAGAGAGAGGAAGAGAGAGAAACGCAGTGATGGAGCAAGCCCGCCACTGAAGCACACGCAGCGGCCTAGCTACACGCACGCATAAAACATGTCATGCGTAGGCCTGTCACACGGCCAACACCACTGTTCGTGGGTACTTCTGGCAAGGGAAACTACCCATGAATAAATACAGTTGGATTGGTCCACAAATGCTTACTTCTGTTACATTTCTGATTTAACAGGGATCTGATATAACAGGACTTTTTCTCTGGTCCCACCATACCAGTTAAATCAGGTTTCCACTGTAGTTGCCCAGATTTGAAAGGACTCATCTCTTTGAAATTATTGTTTTCTTCTTTTTTTCTCAGTGCTTTTTCATTTTTGTGTTACTGTATAAAAATGTAGCTAGTTCTTTGGAGAATTCACCTTGACACTAACTGAACACTGAAAAATGTTTTGTTTTTTATTGGGGGTACTTCAGTCAGTCAGAGATTGTAGGGCGAAAAATAAAACTACAAAAACGTTTGTTGGAGTTGTTTCTGTCAGGATTTTTTTCATTTGTTATTGTTGCTTGACATAATTGATGTCTGAGGCCTATCGGCAATGACAAAAATATCAAAGTGAAGCTCAACAAAAATAATGTCTAAAGCTTCTAAAATAAAAGGAGTTCCAGTACGGTATCCGTGGTAAAAGTAAACAGTAAGACAGACATGTACATGAATTTTGGAGCTGTATTTGTCAGGGGTATTTTGTTTGTGTGGGGGTGGGGGGGGTAGGGTTTTTAAAAAAAAATTTTTTTTAAAAATTCATTTGACTTGTTCTTTGTGGGAAGCAATTAATTTTGCGTTTGATTCATTTATCTTTTAATAATGAATTGAGTATAATTTCGTCAACACAGTTTTCACTGGTCATATCTTCCATTGCATGCACACATTTGAAACATGTATGATTGTGTCCTTAGCAAAGATAAAATTCTCCATCACAGTACATCGTCCAGCTGAAAACATGAGATGGCTACAAGAAGGCTGACAGTTTGCATTGTGTGTGTATTGATTCATGTTCAGGTCATGGATTATTAGTCTTGAGGTTTTTCAGTTATAAGATTCCCATCCAAACGACTGAAACGTGGAATCTGTTGCTATACATGTACTACTATTATTGACCTTATTGCTTTCATTTCAAATAGGCCTGAAACTCATTTCATTTAACATTTTTATTTTTCTAGGAGTATGGGTGGAAGTGAGAAGTCAAGAGTGTTCTGTTTCTGATCTTATATTGTTCAGTTGTTCTGTCAACATTGTTTTTGGTGATTATGCTTTGACTGGATTAAGCTTTGTTATATCTATTTTATGTTTTAAGTGTTTGTTATTTCGCATCATGTTTTATTGTGGTAGTAGTAGTAGAGAATAATTTTGAAGAATTTTATATAGGAGAGGGGGGGGGGGGGGGGTCATTTTTTTGAGTTGATGAAATATTTTCTGGCTGACACATACAGTATCCATTTGTCTTGGGTTTCAGAGGTATTGCAGTTTTCATTATATGTGTCACGACGCGATGGAATCAAGCGCTCGTCAAATTTTAAGCAAATGGAAAGAGCTTGTTCAGTTGTCTTGCTTTCAGTAAAAAAAAGTACTCTGCTATCTTGAATAGAAGTCGAGATACTTGAGATTGAGGTGGGGTCACCTGGTTTCAGAGGTAAAATTAGCGAGAAAATGGCCACCAAAGTTGAGTTATTTCCTTAGCTTGAGAATCCAAGGAAACTGAAAATTTGTCTTTATGCCTTTAACTTTAACTTAAATTTTTTTTTAATCAACTTTTTTTCAGTAAATTCCGAACAGAAATGTGTTCTTTTTAATGGGCATGAAAGGTGTTGAGCCAAAAAAACTAAAAATGTGATAAAAATTCCCAAACTTGTGGAAAAATGCCAGTTTCTTGACTTTTGTTATTTTGATGAGCACCTGATTTCACCACGCTGCCTCACATTCTCTTTATTGCATTTATTGTAAGGACTCGACTCAAAAGTCTAATTCCAGAAACTGTTATTGTTAATTTTCATAAATAAAGTTATTGTGTACACTGTTTTATTATTGCGTGCCAGCTTCTTGTTTTTGGGTGTCATGTGTGTGTACTTATTATAGTTAAATCTCTTGTCTTCTGTTTTTTAACAGATAAGTTCTTGAGTTTTGCTGTCTCCTATTTTTTTTCTGTTTCATATATTGTTCCCAGTAAAATCTTTGTCCTCCTTTCAACACATTGCAGTTAGTTTGAGGAAAGGCAGGAACTTCGAATTTGGACTCAGCTCTGGCAAGGTAGAGTGGAGAAAATAAATCTCGTCACTTGATCCAGGTTCAGCTCAGCAGAATAATGCTCTTCTTGGTTTAAATCAGCAACCATAGCATTATAATCAAGTGACTCACCCTCTAAGCTAAATGCTGCCTGCTTACTTATACATTGTATGAAATTTCTCGGTAACCTGCAAATGCAAGCATTGCAGTACTTGAGGAGACATCAAGAATGCTTAGCTAAAAAGGTTGAATGGTTCTCTCTTGAATATTGTGCATTTCACATGCGCAATGCAGAAAAAGATTTGGTTTCTTCAGATGAACTGAGTTATCAGTGTTATTGGAATAGCTGAGCTAGTACATGTATTAGTATACATGTCACAAATCGTTTAATGCTAATGAATTGTAGTAGCCTACATTGTGTAGGCCTACCTCATTCAGTCCCAAAATTTTAAGAGGACCACAAATGCGTCAGAAAAAATATTTCTAAAAAATGTGATAGCTTTCTCTACAACTTCGATAGAAATGTTTTTGCGTGTTATGGTCATGGTCTAAAAAAAGCAGCAACTGCTTTATCCACAAAAATAATAGGAAAAGAGACACAAATAGAGAAAAGAGAAGAAGACGGTCTCAAAGTCAAAGGGAGAGAAAGTTCTGGAAGGAAAACAGGTAAGGGAGAAGAATGACAAAAGGTAAAAGTAATAATATAGTTACACAAATACAATGTTTTTTTCTCAGAACTGACCATTGTCTTCTGTACATCATTTACACCGTATTATAATATAAAACATTGTATCCATGCTGAACCTGCTGCTGCCCACATTGAAGAGTTTGTGAGAGTATGACCTTTGTCAGTACAGAACACGAGTATCGAGGGCTCCATAATCTGTCCCCGTGGCTTTATGCACCCAGCGTAATTTAGCGAAATTTAATCATTTTTTTGCATACTTTCTGATTATTTTCCTTTATCATTCTTCACGACATTAACAAAATCGCATAATTCCACATTTTTAGGGCTCAGTTTGCATAATATCAGAATTTTCCTTGCATAAAAGGAAGGGGGCAGCATAATGACCGGGTTTGTCTTGAGCGCTTAAATGACCAAGTATATAGGCTATGTCTCTGACCATAATATGATTCGGGTGAATAAAGTACCCCAGAAAAAGAGGTTTACCTCCTTGTATCAGTGCACCGATTAAATTGAGCTGATTGACATTTGTGGACCCTTTAATGAATTATCTATGTATTCAAGCATGTTGATTCAATTTGTATACGTGATGCTCAGCTCAGAATGTGAGTACACATGTACTCGGGGACGATAAGAATGATTGAGACCTTACTGCCAGCCACATTTTTAAAAAAGTGAGTATGAGGACCACGAGGAGTCGCAGCAGCTAGGAGAAAATGGGGGGGGGGGGGGTATTTATTTATTTATTTATCTATTTTGGTGGGCGGTTTATGTCGTCACCATGAGTGGCTTTCTGAGAGACATGCAATGCTAACTAACTCAATACTTCACTTAATTGTTCTTTAGTTATTATCTTGCATGATCGTTAGACTTAGTCTTAGGCTTCAAATTCTAAAAGCCTTCAGCTTTTAATTGTGAGTGAATACGACTTCTACTGTGTACACGTATGTATTTGGAAAAAGCGGGGCAGAGAATTTTACAGTCAATTTTCAGGCAGTATATAATTTTGTTGTTTGTGGAGATCATGTTGTAGTTGCTTTTTTTTTCTCTCATTTTTATTGGTGGGGGTAAAAAAAAAGGGTCGGCGGGTTGGGTTGGGGGTCGGCTATGCTGTTCATTTCAAATTAAAACGAATTTAAATTCTGTATAAGATAAGGTAAGAATATAATACTCTTTTATCCCAGAGGGAATTTTTTTCTTGGCAGTACGTACAGGACCGTAAAAACCAATGCAGGTATACATAGGAATTTAAATTACATGTATATATATTGTTTTAATTTTTTTTAAAATTCAATATAAAAAGAGAAGTAAAGTTGACAAAATGTAATATACGCAGCAGATTCATCATTCAACCACTTATAGGAATGTAATGTAATTACAATACTATTAGAGTTATGTTATTTAATATAGAGATACATACTCGAAAGAGCAGTACATACTGGCTTATTCTGACAACAGCCTCATGCTAGATGGTAAAAAAAACAACATCTTTTATATCTTTCTCTCTTTGTTTTTAGAGGTAGATCTAGATCTACATAATCTGCCGCTGCGTGATCTCACAATTTGCGTGAAAAGTAAATTATGCGGGTCGTTTGTAGTGCTTATCTTTTTTATGCTTGTGGTGTTATAGATTTCATCAATAGTATGAGACAAGATTAAAAGCATTATAAACGGTATAGAGAACCGTATCGAACCCTTATGTTTACTCAAAAATCGTACATCATTTTGAAAGATAATTTGTTTACTGTTGAAAATCTTTTTATTTAAAGCCCTCGTCCAGACAATCACGCCTTGGCGCCAGTCAAACCAGCCGCCACCGTGTCCGTTACCGTTCGTGGGCCTCGAGGCGTATGAAGACAACTGTTTAATCTGTGCTATGAAGTTGATGATAAGTACCAATTTCAAATGTCAGCAATAACCGTAACCGAAACAAATTCGAAGCCTTAACAATGAATTTGACTGGAAACGATCGAGCAAGATGTTTGATTTTGTTGAAACCGACTCAACTTTCAGCATAGTACTTGCCATTTAAACTGAATTTTCTCCAACTTCGTTGTCAATGACAACAAATCGTTTCACGATGTACTGACCTCTGTATACTTCCGCTATGTTGAACTATTTGATACTGCTTCCTGGGTATTTTGAGTCAATGATGGGATTCAATTAATATTTGTTGCTTTTAGAAAGAAATTTATTCAAATTTTGTTTGTATAGAAACATATTGTATGTATGAAACACCCCTGGTAGTCATTTTTACCATAATAATAATTTAACCTTTCAAGAGGTCAGAGTTCACATTTGTAAGCGAGAGTGCTTTCCGCCTCTGAATGCTGCTTCGCGTTGTTGTATTGACGCGTACTTGAAAAGCCAGGAGGAAGGGAACGAGCTTGGACGGAAAGTTTTGGAACGTACACGTAATGTTTTGTAGAGTTTAGTCAGTATTTTTTTAGACATCAGATTCTGTGACTATAATCAAAATGCCGACCCCAGTTCCATTAACTCAGCTGGTTGATCTTGCTTTAGGATCACCAGAGGTTGGCGCTGTAAACTTCAATGTCTTGCACACGTTGCTCCATGCTATGATTTCTAAGTTGAATATTCAAGACGTGAAAGCGGACATCGAAGAACACGACAGGGAATTATTGTCGACCCATGCAGGCCCAAGATCTTTCTCAGCTTTCAGTGCTGACAGTGGGAAAGGAGATGATTCCATTTTATCAGAGGACAACCTCAGTGAAAAATCAGGTTATTCAGCACCAAAGCGGAGTCCATACCATCGGCTGGAAAAACAAGTGTCGGAGCTTACTAAACAAATGGAAGAGCTGAATAAACTACCGTCAAACGAACATCTTCTGCAACGTACGCAAGAAGGAAAGGAATCGGACAGGCCCATAACTGACATGTGGCAGTACATGCAATTGAAGAAAAGAGTTGATGCCAACGAAGAAGGAGTTGGAAAGGTAAGTCAAATTGTTCCTTTCGTTTTGCATTTTATAGACAGAACTAATCTAGATCTAGATAATCTAGATCTAGATATCTAGATCTAGATCTATCAAAAGACCCAAACTGTGAGACATTAGGACATATATATATATATGTGTATGCCCTAATTCTAATCTTAAAAGAATCAAGTTCTTTTTGTCGCATTTTAGGCTAAAATAATTTGTTTGGCCTTGTAAAAGAATATTTGTGGCATCATCATGGGGTAAAATCAGGCGCTTGTCAAAATAATGAAATCGAAGAAATAGAATCTAGATCTAGAATCTAGATATAGAATCTATAAAAGGCATTTTCCCTCCAGTTTGTCCATTTTTATTGAATTTTTGTTTTTTGGCTTAACATCTTTTATGATAATTTAAAAACACATTTCTGTGTGAATTGTTCTGAAGAACGTTGGTGAAATGTAAGAAAACTGTAAATTTTTAGTTTTTTCTAGGGCCTCAAGCTATGGAAGTTACCAAACTTTGGCAGCCATTTTTTCGCTAATTTTACCTCTGAATCCGGTGACCCCCGCCTCCTTCAATTCGTGCCTGATTCCACCATGTCATGACACATTTTATTATTTTTATTTCATATATCTCTGATTGTTAATAATTTTAATGTATTTATTAGTAATCTATTATTGTTGATATTTATGATTACAGGGACATCAATGATAAAGGAGATTGATATTATTATTAGTTGCTATATATATGTATAATGTATGTGACCCATAAATATTGTAAAAGTACCACTTAATGATGCCAACGTCCTATAATACATTAGACACAAATTAATTTCAACTGAGCTGTGTTTTGTGAGGCCTGCTGGTTTGCTCTGCGTCAATTGTGCAAGTTAAGACTGTGTAATCTCTTCTTACATAATAAATAGGCCTTACTTACTGTAACTTAAAGATTTGTTTTTGTATAACTTTTGCTTATTTTGCATTTTTACAGAATTGACATGTGGTAAAGTTTGGGTGGTGACGTACATTTTATTTTAATGTACCAACCCTTTGTGACTGTTGTCCTGAATGTTTATCATAACACAAGGAGAAAATGACACAGCAGTTATACAAAAAAAAAAAGTCATGTAAAATTCAAAATCACATGAACTTTAAGTTGAGTTGCTTTTTGTTAGTTTGGTTGTTTTTTTTCACAGACTAGGGCTTCAGCATTTTAATTGCATGTACTTGTTAAACTTTAACTAACCAAGAAGAAAATCTGGGTAGGCCTACAGTTTTTTATATTTTAGAGATATCCGGTGGAGATGAGGAAAATATATTATAATAATATGGTAACTTGAAGTGTATCCTCTACTTTTGGTCCCACGATCCTGAGTTCGAGTCCTGTCAGTGGTTGTGTTCGTCTCAAGTCTTGAAGATGTAATATGTTTCTCTCCGTCACTTTACTTTGTTGCTCAAGTTTGAAACCCTGCTTGACCATCGATAATTTATTTATAGAGGCACCAGCCGTCCATGTCCAGGTGCTGTTTTAGCCAACCCTGCTTGACTCAAAAACACTTTGTTTTTAAGGTGGCACTCTTAGTCCCCCTTCAGAGCTCCAGATTTAATTGAGACATTTCTGATAATGTGGTGATAGGAGTAATTTAGCCCACTCTCAGATTCAGGCTTGATCTTGTTCATAACCAACTGTGCATCTCAGATACTGATCTTTGTGTAGTCTCTCTGAAATTACTTTTTTGTTGTTGTTGTTTTGGTAAGTGTTTTGTGACGCTCGCAACTGCATAATATAAAGGTCAGGGCATTTTCAGCTGGTAGAAAATTTCAATTTTGCACGGATGGTGGCCGAAGCCTACTCTTGTCCCTTTTAGGACCACCAAGGGATCTTAAACGTGCACAGCTTGCACACGAGACCTCTGAGATTTTTAGCCCTAATCTGAGAAGGCTAGCTATAAAAGTCGTTGGATCTTACTTACCATAAAATCAGGGGCGTGGCTGAAAGACAGCAGTGAGAAAAGAGTAGCAGAAGAAAGGCTGCAGAAAGAGTCAAGAGCCTAGAGGAGAAGGCGAAAGTGGGGGGGGGGGGGGAGGGCAGAAAGTGGAAATGAAAGCAGACGACAGAGCATGGTTAAAGAGCAGGAAAGGAGAACATTTAAGAGATTTTAATTTCGTTCTCGCTCTCTCCCTCTCTGTTTCTCTCTTATGCGTGATCTGTTTATCTATCTATCTGTCTGTGTGTCTGCCTGCCTGTCTGTCTAACAAAACCACATACTCGCGCTCAAACACACCCACTCACACACACACACACACACACACACACACAGAGAGAGAGAGAGCATATTCACACGACATACTCTCGGTCTCTCTCTCTCTCTCTCTCTCTCTCTCTCTCTCTCTCTCTCTCTCTCTCTCTCTCTCTCTCTCTCTCTCAATGACGCACACACGCGCACACACACGCACACACACACACACACTACTCACTCTTTCACTCTAGACCCGATATCTGTACTCGCACGTTCGCTCCAAAACCCGACGAATTTATGTATGCTAAACTACGAGTAATTCCTATTTGCTTCCGAGCGAATGCATTCGTAAATTTCATTATAATTGTAGATCGATTTTGCTTGCTCCTCAAAATTCCACTGTACCAGCAATCTTTCCGTGAGTAAATATCGTTGACATTCAGCTGTCCGATCATGTACCGCATAAAAGTAGAATTATATTCGACCTCTCTGATTCGACTTGTTTTTACACTATGTCAAGAGAAGGAAAAGAAAGAGAAAGGAAAGGGCTGTTTGATTCATTTCTAGTTTGCCAAGAATCGGATTGTTTGAAGGCTGCTTTCATGTTTTATGTGTAAAATGTAAAATTTATTGAGCAGTCCTGGGATTTTATAAGAAGTTAAGAGTTACGAGCTTGATACAAAATAGATAATAGAGCTTTGTGGATGAAAGGGGGGTGGGGGTGGGAGGGCGCTGTCCTCGTCTGTAGGACACGAACGTTTCTGCTGAGGGTGAAACGGCTGCACTATAGGTTATTATTAATGTTCTTGAGATTACGATGTGCAAATTTCTGTTATCATATCGTGGACATGACTGACCTAGTTGGAGAGCAGCTATCACAGTGTCCAGAAAGTCCTATGAGACTTCACGAAAAGTAATGCTGAGACCATGAGAGAAGCCCGGAAGCCGCGCACATTCACAGGTCAAAGTGCCGCTTTTGAATGTTCGAAATCAAAATGTGACAATTTAAACTTTTCTCTGCTAGAATTGGTCTCATTGGCCATAACAGAAGCGACAAATCACCTTAACCTTTACTTCTCCAATTTAGCTTGAGAAAATTAAATAATATTCTACTCTGCGGATGCACCGGTTGTCGTCAGACATTGACGGACGAACTAAATGATAGTATTATTGTCGGCGTCATCGTTTCTATTATCCACTTGTGTCTTTATCAAACTGAAATTCCTTTGATGTTTGAATATTACAAAAACGATACAATTTTCAAAGACACGTACCTTCCCATACGCATAGCATAGCTGATTACACCCTGTTTCCTAATTTTCCTCCTCTTTATTTTCTGAACGGTCCACACAAAACGACCCCCTAAAAAGCACCGTACGTCTTGTATCTATTGGTAGGCTACACGAATGTCGATCTCTAGTTTAAGTTGATTTCGAGCTGGTACCGTGAAGGCCACTTTTTTGCCCCGAGTGTATAAAGATAATAGCGAAACTGAAAATAAGTAGAACAAACATACCGCCTCAGAGAGCCCTCCCCCCAAACCACCAGCCCGGGCCTGTGTTTTTACTGTTCTGTTTGTCGGACACTTAATCTTCCTCTGGCCTTTCAAATGGGTTGGTTGAGGGTGTCTCTGGTTAGTCCTTCTTTATTATCAATCTGTTGCTTCTGTCTCTTTCTCATTGTTTTTTGTTTGTTTTTGTTTTTTGTTTTTTAAAAATAGTTATACTAACGATGAAGCTTATAGAAAGTATAACAATATTAACAGTGTTTTAATAACTTGGTTGCATTATACTGCCATAGTAGTTCACGACTGGTGGAGGCCCTCTTGTGTCTGTCTTGCTTTTTTTCTCAGGGGAAAGAAAACATCACAGTCAGTGCATTTCTTCTTAACTCAACTCCAAACTTTGCTACCCCCTTGTGATTTTCTTTTTCTAAAAAAAAAAGTACCTCTTTGGGGAATCATACGTACATGTGGCGTGTTGATTTATTAGTTTTCACCTTTCAAACAGGCATTGAATGTCCGAAAAATGACCAAGAAAGTGTGTCAGTACTACCAAAAAGAACCTTCCATCTCTATGCGGTCACGAGTTGTCTCCTTTTCTTTTCTTTTTTTGTGGGTAAGTGTTTTACGGCGCTGGCAACTGCATAAGGTCATATATGAGTCAGGGGCCCAGAGGTGGGGGCAAAGGAGGTGAGGAGGTGGGGGCAGAGAATGGAGACGAAAGCAGATGACAGAAGATTGCTAGAGAACAGGAAATAAGGAGGTGAAAGGAGACATTTTAGAGAACAAAAATTTCCGTCGCTATCCGGTCTCGAACCCGTGAACTATTGAATGAGAGGCGAAAACCTTAACCTCTAGGCCACCCCTAGTTGTCTCTATACGTGACTGCATTTCGTTTTCGCAATCACAACTGATTTGGCCCTTGATTGATTTGGTGGGCTGGAAGGTGAAGGGTTCTTGTCCCAACTTGCTCGTTACTGGGATGAATAAGGAACGTAAGGCGTTAGTGACACTGATATCTTTGATAACTGCGTGTTGGTTGTATGTCGTTTGTAGGTCACTGGTTCGGAAAGACCCTTTCGTTTGCGCCTCTAGTCTTTTCCTCGTTAAGAAAATCGTTCTCTTCTTCGAAAATGACGAGGATGTACGTGTACATAACCTTAATAATATTATGAAATCGTGTCGTTTTCGTCTCATTATGCTTACTCCAACTGCCGTCTTTCAAATACTGTTTATTGATTTTTAGTTTTAGTTGTTTTTTGTTACTGTATTTAA